ACTTACTATATCAGTGAAGACTCCCGGCCTCATGAGATTGATCATCTTCGCCACCTGATAGATGTCGACGACTCCTTCGTTCTCCAGCTGCTGGGACAGCGTGGTGAGGGCACAGAGCATCCCTGCTGACACGGCTCCATACCTGAGAGGAGGAGTTCACCAACAATGTCACATCACACCTCCACAGTTCACAAGCACAGAGCTGCTGTTGTTTGTTCCTGAATCCGACTGTATATTAACACATACAAGCAGTAGCCAGGATAGAACGCACCGCAGGGAGTAAAAGGATAAAACGTGAAGCGTACAGACCGCGGCTGTCGGCGTCCCGTCACGTTAGCGTCTGGTAGAAACGAGCGGGGCGGCATCGCGGTCTGTTATTTAGTCCGTGACAACTTCAGACGGCACCCGGAGAAAAGCGTGATTGATTGTCAGGAAGTTGAGCGAGGAGGACTATTCAGATAGGCGATGTTTACACTAATAGCAGCCGAGGTGCTGCAGACACAGACAGACTGGAGGGCTGCTCGCTCACACACTTGGCGGTTCTGTTCGTCCTGGCAGTGGCCCTGTGGAGCCTCGGCGCTGGCGTACACACTCCTGACCAAAATCAAGTTTTTAACCTTATTAACACGTCCATATGGTGCGTTGTTTTTCTAAATCATGAAGACATATCATGAATAAAATAAGCAGCCAACACCATGACTCAGCATTTCTGCCTCAGAGCTGCAGCAGAGTTTCATATGGAGAGAACCTAAATCTCGTCAACGTACGGCTGAATTATGCAGCGTTACAGTCGTGTGAGCTGCAGGTGAGCAGCACAGGGAATAGAGGCAGGATACTCGAGTCTCCCACCTATTCCATCTGAGTCATTTTAAGGCTTGAAAAGGCACAAAAAAAGAAAAAAATCCTCCTGAATATGTAAATGTGATGAACAGCGATTAGCTTTTAGGGCTTTAATCAATGCCAGGAGAGGGAGTTCAAGGACTTCCAAACCGCCAGCGATGAAAAGAACATTTAGTGGCTTATTTTCCCTCCTTCCCAGTGCAAACACGAGAGTGTCACCGGGTCTCATAAAAAATAATCAAACCTCTGAGGAGAACTTTTCAACCTTTTAAACCCAGAAAAACAATAAGCCGGACCGACATGTGAGCCGACGATAAGGAGAGCAGTTTACAGCCTTGTCTGGTTTATGAATGGACCCGAGGAGGACAAACTGGAGCGTAAAGAAGCCGTCCTCACGCTGCAGCAACTGCCACCTTCACCTGACGACTCTGCGCTGCTAGAGGTGAACGCAAACGTACTCGTCATGCACAATGGTGGGGCCATCTCGAGTCATGGCTTCCTCCTTGATGACGCTGATGAGCTCGAAGGTGCTGCTGAGGGGGGAGTCCGGGTTGGGCCATTTAGGGCACTGGAAATGCCTCACCTCCAGAACGTAGTCATCCTGTCGCACACACACACACACAGAAAGAGAAGGAGAGCGTCAAGCAGCGACACGTCACGGCGATCACGAGTCACCACTCCTGACTTGTTATGCTTGGTGTCACAGTAATCAGACGGCGGGTCGGGTACCTGCGTCGCCTCCAAGATGAAGTCGTGGATGATGATCTGCTCCTCGTTGGAGAGGCACAGTCTGTCCTTACTGATGAGCGTGACGGTGAAGGCGATGCAGTTCATGGCCTCTTCCCGACTCGGCCAGTAAACAAATTCGTCCTCGGCCTGAAGGGAAACGGAGTCACAGGTGTCTTTCTCATCAAAGCCTTTCACTAATGACTCATTCTTTCTGTTAGTTTTAGTGTTTTTTTTTGTGAAACTGCTGCAGAAAAGCAATAAAAAAAAAACAAAAAAACAGAGAAAGCATCATCAGAGAAAGAGGATAAATACGCACCAGGCCCTGGTTGTCAGGCAACATGACGATAATTTGAGCGTTATGGTCCCAAATCATCCTCCAGAAGTCTGTTGTGGTGTGGGGCAATGGATGCTGGGTAATGATGAACTCATTACTCCTGTAGTAGCCCTGAGGTGATAGAGGTGAGCTGTTAGCCTTTCCAAAGCTCGGAGCACTCGCACAGATGGATGATTGTGACACACTGATCATTTTCTAAAACTGTACCATTATGTAGGATGCATTAATGTAATCTGTTCCTTTCATGCCAGGCAGAGTAGTGAGTCCGACCCTCGCTCGCTCCGCTGTTAAGAGGGAGAGAGAGAGAGAGGGAGAGAGAAAAACACGCTTTAAATCACAAACCCGGGCCTCTTTAATATCGCGCCGCCTGATAATGCACACATTTATAACCAGGCTCCACTGTTGCTATAGCAACAACTACTTCCTTTTTCTGCTGTCAGGGTGCCGGGGACGCATAGAAAGATTAACTTATAGGATTATGGAAATAGATTCTAATTTTGGAATAGGAATTGTCTTTAATAATTTATTGACTGAAAAATAGGAAAAATCTAAAATGTTATGAGTCGGATTCTTATTTTCTCCGGTTTCTATAAGCAGGAAAACACACACAGGGCAGATCTTACTCATGGAAACCCTGTAAATATTGCCCACATCCCATTTCACTCTTCTAATTTAAACATTCTCCAACATGTTTTCGCCCTGGTCTCGGCCTCGGCGCCACTTCAAGGATGCTGATAAATACTCACAAGGAACCACTGAGGAGTTGCGGTTCTTCTCCTTGTTGCAGTCTTTGTGGGCGCTGAAGCACTCCACAAAACGCGTGTTGCACTGAGTCAGCAGCTGGAGAGAGAGAGAGAAATCAAATTTTTAGTCCTCCGAGTCGCTGCAAATTAAAATCAAACGTGGAAAAATAAGATACAAAGTTGTTCAGCAGCCAAAATTAACAGCAAGCCTTTCACGTTAATAATGAGCGTGTGAAGCTCGGGAGGAAGTGACATTACGTGGGAGCAATTAGTTTGTCTCTCCTTATGTTGAAAGAGCAGGAGCTTAATGAAACATTCATCAAGCTTTGCATAAGGCAGCAGGGGTGACAGACAGGACTTTATTATAACATCAGAGACGCTCTCCAGCTATTCCCGTCAGGAGCTCCGACGGCACCGCGCATGTTGCTAACAAGCTTCTGACCCGGAGACCACCTCGAATGCAGCTGATGGCACCAGCGCAGGCTGTGACAGCTCGTCTAACTGGACCAGTCAGGCTCCGAGCAGGTTTACTCACCCTGAACTGCTTCTCCAGCCGTGTGCGGCCTGTGGAGTTGGGCGTGAGGATGCTGTTGACGTAGCCGTGCAGCTGCCAGGCGGGCACCTCTGTCTCCCTGCTCAGGATGGCCTCCATCAGAGCATCGTGGATGAAAACATACTGTTCCTGAGGGGACGCGGGAGACGTGAAGACATGCGTGACAATAAATCAGGAAAATGAAGGCAGACGGATAAATGTGAAGCTGTCTCGTGCTTCAATAAATGCAAACTAATCTCCTCATATTATTTTGTTTCAGAGATTTTTATTAAAAGGGATCTTTAATGGATCCCAACTGTTGTGAACATGCCAGAGACATTTTTAAAGATGCAGTTACGGCCTTCTCTCTCGACAGAAAGAAAAGGGCTGAACGGGGGATTATCAGATTAAAACGGTGACTGGGTTAGGCTGAAAGTCCTGCAGGTTATATTCAAGGAACATGACGTCAGGTGTTAGCCTCACTTGACGTACACCTCATGTATATTAAGATCCAAAAGCAAAAGTTCAGAAATAAGCAAAATGCTTCACTTCAGAATCTGAAAAAAGACAAATTTTCACTTTGGATGCATTGCAGGTTTTTCTCAGTCGCTTTGGTACATTTCTCGAATCGTCCTCGACAAAACAGTAAGTGCACTTCTCAAAACACCATGGATTAGCTGCAAAAGGCAGTTACTTGCTCAAACTCCGTAGTTCATCTCTCAAAACTAAATATCTGTCGGTGAACATGTCAGTGGCGTCAGAACGACAAGTCCTTGAGTCAATGTGTACGGATCAGATAGATTGTTTAGTCATGGTGTCAGTATAACTGTGAACTCTGGAGGGATGCTCTGATGTAAACTAAGCCTAAAGTTTAATGACATTTATTGTAAACTGTGAGTTACACCCTAATGTATGTGGGAGATGGATTCATATTTACTGTTTGTGCTGTAATTTGTTGACAGACCGTGTCATTGAGATACAGAAAGGAAGAGACAGCACTGCACAGCACAGAGAAAAAAACTAACGTAGAAATGTGCACATAGGACAGTGTCCTTAAGGGAAACTGTACATGCAGTGCTGTAGGAATGACAGTGCAGGCTTCCTGCCAGTTGCTGGTTCATAAGATGCACCTTGGAGCTATTTCAGACAACTGGTTGGTCATTGGTTGATCTGTGTGATGCTGCACACATGTCCCTTCATTAGAGAAAGTCAAGATTCACCTGGGAGCAGCCGACCAGTCCAGGACAGATTTAGACAAAAATGGAAATATGCTCGACATATTCTGACAACTTGTTCAACCGTGTTGCATGTAAAGACGATGAACTAATGTCTAAATGTTGTGGGACTATTCAACAGAGACCCATCGATAATCCATTCTGATCAACAGCTGATAATGTAGGAAGAGGATTGCACGTAATCATTTGCATGGACGTACCAAAGCATTTAGAGCTTGGTCAAAGAAATGAGAAGCTGATTTTTTGATGTGCACAAGCGACACAATGACGAGAAGATTGAACAAGTAGTTTCGAGAATTTCAATTCTGATCTGAGAAAAGTACCAAAGAGAAAAACTGTAATGTGAAAGCACTGCACGGCTGTTTAAAGTGGAAAAGGCAGAGCTACGTATCTAATTTATAAACCTCTGGGTGGCATCATCACAGTGTATCACATAGACTTAGAGTATTGTTAGAAGTACAGGACGGTAAATGTGCATGTTTTATGATAGTTCACATTACTATACATGTATATACACAGCTGTCAGATAAGCCTAATGATGTAAAAACATTTGGGTTTGAAGTGTAAAACAGGGCTAGTTAATAGTTTAAGCTAATGGAGCACTATGCAAGATTCTCAATGTAAATACAGCTTTAATATAGCAGCAAACAGCTCTCTGCTGTGTAAAGATATAGTGGAGTAATGGCATCCTTAGCAGAGAATGAAGTCACACGTCCTCTGTGTGTGTGTGCTGTAATCAGAGCTCCTCTTTTGTATGTTTTGGCAGCTGGACCGGCGCCATGTGCATGTCAGAGCATATTAATGCATCTGAGTCCTTCCCTCTGAAACTGTTGGCAGCCTCTGTGGAGGCTATAGAGAGTGACCTCCAACATAGAAGTTTGTGCAGCGTGGAAGCGTTCAGCGGTGGCCTGGAAACCAAAGGATCTAAACATTTTATGTTGAATAGCTCATTTAATCTATTTAATTTCAGCTCGAGCTCCTTCTTTGGTCGCGTTTGAGCCACTCCGGTCTGTGTGTGGCTGTTTCCAAACACATCGACCGTCTCCTCCGACGTTTGATTTACATGTGTGTGTGTAAAACATACAGAGTAGGTTGATGGAGGTTAAATTAGGTCATTTAGTGTATTTTATAATGCTAGCTTGAGCTAATAGTTATGGCTGGATTTTCTTTTGTTGGCTCTCTTAGTTGCAAATGAAATGTGAAGGGAGTGGTCTACTGAATATTGTATAACCCCCTCCGTCTACAGGGCCCAGAGAAAAACAACATCACACGTACAAAAACATATCTGCGTCATCATCTGATAGAAGTTCAGAGACACAACCTCAATCCTCCGTCAGTCAAAACAACCACAGACACAGGAGTAGCTGAGGACAGCGGCTGTGGACTAATTCTGATGTTATACAGTCGTCTGTGTTGTGGCGAGTGTATAACAGTTTGCACTGTGTGTTGCACTGAAATTGCAGTGAGAGTGACCTTTACCCAAGCTTGGAGTATCAAACTGAAAGGCTTTCATAACTCCTTATGCATCTTTAATCACAGATGACCTTTAGAGAAGGAATCCGGCTTCCCAAAGTAACTGATTATTTCGGGGCTCTTACCTCGGTCTGGACTAGGTAGTTGCGTTGTGTGCGAATATGTTTGAGGAAATCCAGGACGCTAACTGTGCTTTTGTCCTTGATCTGTTGCAGCATGCTGTCAATGACAATGTATGTTCCCGTGCGTCCAACCCCTGCACTAGAGAGCAGAGCACAAAACAATATGAGCGAAGCCCCGAGAGGGAGCTTTTAACTAAGTCAGCAAAGATGAGAGTAACACTCATAAGTAACACTCATTTAGCCCGCGAGCTCCGTAATAATGATGTACCTGCAGTGCACCAGGACGGGGCCCATGTCTGCAGTGCGAGCCGCTGACGAGCGGTTGATGAAGGTGAGGACAGGGAGGGTGTACTCGGGCACTCCCATGTCAGGCCACTGAGTGTAGTGGTACTGGACCACGATGCGCTCGTTCAGCTTCCCTTTCGGATTCCCCTTCTGACCCTAAAACACGAGAGCAGACGTGTGACGCTGGTGCAGTACAATCCTTTCAGTTTCTGAGCACAGAGCAGAGATATCAGGTTATATACACATCCCTGCAACAACAGTGTGTCACGCTTAGCATTTATGAAATGAATATGAAGATTTGATGAGCAGATTATTCACACTACGGTGTCAGGGCAGCTACTATCAGGGTTTTCTATGTATGTAAGCATCAAGAGGGTTCCCACTCTTAACCTGAAATTATTTTCCAGGACATTGTTCAGCCGCTACAGACACAAGTTATCATACACTAACACATTCCCCTGTCATTCTTTGGAAGTGTTTTATACAGTTGTAGCTCGTGTTTACCCCGATTGTTTCCATGTTTACTACTCAGACATTTGATGTGCCGTCTATGGCTAGAATTTATCTATGAACAAATATATCACAGAATAATGCAAACACACCCACAGATTACATTGGAGTCGTGAGGACAAATTATTTTCCAGGACATCTTAACCGTTTCCAGGACATTTGACCTTTTTTTTTCCCTCATTTTCCATGACTGGAATATTGCTCTATCATTTTCCAGATTTTCCAGGACGAGTGGGAACCCTGATCAACAACAGCAAGTGTTGGCTGGTGCAGAAGCAGTTAATGAAGAGTGACATATACCTGGAATAACAAAATACTGTCCCTTGCATAGTTAAAAATATGTTATAGAAGTCATACCGGTGGACAAACACTCTACATTAATTCATATTTCTAAATGTCCTTGCAGCTGAAACACTAAACAAAGTACGAACTAATTTAATGAAAAACAAATTAATAAATCATTAAAAAACAAACAAAATAGTTCCAACATCGAGATAAGGTGTTGCTAAATATTAATTGTCAGTACCTGCCTGGTGCAGCTACTTCCAAAGAGAATAAAATAAATGTTAATGAAAGATGCACGAAGATATAAACTCAAAGTGGTGACATGTTTGACATTTCAGACCTCGCATATCGGAAATTGTAATCTACAAAAAAAAAAAGAAGAAAATTATCCATTATCTTAGTCCTCACTAGGGTCATGGGGGGCTGGAGTCTGTCCCAGCTGACTCAGGGTGAAGGCAGGTTCACCTGGACAGGTAACCAGTCTATCACAGGGCTACACATAGAGACAGACAACCAAGCACACTCACATTCACACCTACGGACAATTTAGAATCACCAGTTAACCTCAACATGTTTTTGGACTGTGTGGGAGGAAGCCGGAAAAACCCAGAGAGAACCCACGCTGCACGGGGAGAACATGGAGACTCTATGCAGAAAGATCCCGGGTGTCCAAACCGGCGACCTTCTAGCTGTGAGGCGACGGTGCTAACCACCGAGCCACCCAAAAAAAATAATACATCTTAAAATGAAAATGCCGTGTCAGTGACTAATTTCTCAAAACTGTCCCTGTATGTAGATAAAAATAATAAAACGTGAGATAAATCTAACAAACCCCCTGGATCGGTAATGTTTGTTTGGTTTAATTCAAAAGAAAACAGCACATTTTAGCAGATTTAATACAGAGTAAGAGTGACTCTTTGCTACCTTTTTAACTTTCGTGTTCCTGATGAGGAACCGGCGCAGCGTGTAGCAGGCGTGAACCTTCGTGCTCTTCAGCGTCACCACGATGTTCCCGTACTGCTCGCTGTTCTCCGTCGGCCAGTACTGGTCACATTTCCTCTGGAGGACACAACAGTGATGTTTCAGCACGTTTAGTCGTTTCTGTGTCAGGATTTTATTTTATTTTTTTTGACAGAAATGAACCTACTCTTCCTTTTTCCACGAGGTTTGTGATCATGACGATGATTCCAGTGTTCTGCTCCCACACCATCCTCCAGAAGTCCTCGAACGTGGACTTCAGAGGACCTTGAGCGGCGATGTAAGCTCTGGGCCGGTTGTAACCCTGAAACAGGAGCGTGGTGGAATATGGTTTACTGGTAAGATCAATACTGTATCAATTCCCCACAGCGCCTCATATAGCTGATGGAACTGGTTTACTGACACTGGACAGTGGGAGGTCATGAAATCCACTCCTTCAGCTGACAGAAATTGGGAGTATTTATGCGCGGATCAATACGTTTAATACAAATATCCTCCATTTTTATTGCTGTCTGCCGGCTTTACGACTTTGACACCCCGATTGATATTTTAAGCAAAGCTGTCAGCGTGCTGTTTAGCTCTGGGAATAATTCTTTCACAACACACTCTGGAGTCATTTCACTCACTGTCCAGCTGAAGCAAGTGCATTTCTCAACCTTTCAGACTCAAACAAACCCCCCACACACCCCACCAAGGCCCGGATAAAGACTCCCGAGCCTTGAATAATGTCACAAGGTTGGTGAGACTCACATCCACATAGTTGGCATTGATGTAATCCGAATGTTTGGCATCTTTCCCCGCCAAAGCTCGTAATTTCACCCTGCTGTGGTCATCTAGGGAAAGCATTGTGACTCATTAAAAGGATGAAAACCTGTTATTAAAACATTATTGGATTCCGCAGCAGCAGACGTCGTAATCAGATTTTACAGCCGACTCACAGGCCACGATGTTGATGTATCTGTTTTTGTGCTTGTTGTCGGGATGATTGGAATGTTCTGCTGTGATTTTCAGGTCGGCTGTGCAGCGCTGGACCTCCTGGAGAGAGAAGAAATAGCCAGAAATGGATTTTATTAAACAAGGAGAGAAGATCTAATGGAATTACGCTGTGTGAGGAAGTTAGATTTACTTCAACTGTGAGTTTTTACGATAGCTATTTTTGCAATAATGTCGTTTTGTTTGAGGGGGGGGAAACTTTTCTATGTTGCGAGAAAGAAATCAAAAATCCATCTGCATAAGGACCTCGGCGATGAACTGTAAAGCTGAACCTCCAGCAGGGACTCGGTGTCTCAGCCAAGGACACTTCAGCAGACCAGATGCTGACTGCCACAGGGGCTTGAACTCGAGCCTCCAGTCGAACACACTTCTTCTTCTTTTCTTCTTCACTACACCACAGTCCACTCAGTCACCCAAAAAACACGGCGATCTCTTCCAACTCAACTTCACCGTGGCGCGTTTCGGCATTATGCACACAAGCTTCACACCAAATGACCCCAATTAAAAGGAATGCTCTTGGGGTGAAGCTTTTGCCTCCTTTCCCAACCTAGTTGCACACAAAGTGTCTTCCCATGCAGCCAACCAGCAGACAGACCTTCTCTAATTAACCTCCATCCCTCTGATCTTTCTCTCCATCTTTCTCTCAACCATCTGTTCAAAATTAGCAACCCTGCACACGAGCACACGCACAAAATAATGTATAACCATTGTTCAAACCCAGGCTCATTTGCAGATAACAAGTGCACAAAAGAATAGAGTTCTGTGCTCAGTAGTTAATCAGTACTTACTTAATTCCAAGAAAAAAAAGACCAATTTACTTTTATGCGTTCTGTGCGAGTCCCATTTGATTCCGTTTCACAAACCTTTGTGCATCTTTCCCCCATTTGATTTAGTTCATTTGGGCTCGCTTGAAAACTATACTTAAAACGTTTCGTGCACCAAACAACCCGACCAAGACTGCTTGACAAGGTTCATGAAGCAGAGCAGGACTAAAAGGCGAGAGTGTGTCTCTTTCTTCTTTGTATAAACCCAACTCCAATTCAGCTAAACCATCCATCCATTATTAAAACCCACTTTATCCTACAGAGGTGTGAAAGGCGGGTTAACGCCAGAGGGGTCGCCAGTCCATCACAGGGCTAACACAAAGAGACACTCACACCTACGCACAATTACCAATCCCCATGCATGTCTTTGGACATCTAAGTAGAAAGCAGGTATGGGGAGAACAGAACAACTCCACAGACCTCAGCAGGTTCCTCCCACAGCCTTCCTGCTGTCAGGTGACGCTGCTAAACCCAATTTAAACCTCCGTGGAATTAGCTTCAGAGCTAATCAGCGGAAAGCGGCATTGTACCTCAAACTCCTCAGCGAATCCTTGCATGTTGTTCTTGTAGAGCTCCATGATGTGTTTGACAAACTGCTTGACGGGGATGGCCTCCATGTCATCTGCAGGACAGAAACACAGCAGTCTGTGCAAAGCGCCAAATACTTTGTGTGGTTTATATTTCGCATTATCACGGCTTGTTTTGTTTTGGACTCGATGATTTCTGAGCGTGTGAATATATGCATGAGTCTATTAAGTCTTTTGTTATGTAAACCAGCGTCATTTATTATTTATTGTTGTCTTCTGTTTCTAAAGTGTTGTTTTCAGAGTCTGAAAATCAAAAGATTAGAAAAGAAAAAATCTTTTATGAGAGACCAGCCTCCATCACAAACACCTATATTTGCTATTTTGAGGTTTTATTGGAGGGAGCATCTGTCCCATCTGAGCCAAATCAGGCCCAAATCACACATGAGGGATCTCTGATATGGCTGGTCAGCGCCACACAGGGACGGCGGTGCAGGGGACCCAGCTGCCATCACTGCTGATGCTGGCCAATGTCTTAACTAATACACCCTCGCAGCTGGGGCTTGTAGGGCTCTTACTTGCCTCAGTGGTTACAGCGTAGAGGTGAATTCTCGTTTATTAACCTAGCCATTTATCAAAGTCTCTCTTTTCCTCTGTATTAGTGTCACGAGACTTATCAGTCCGATCAGTTCATCCGAATGGTTCTGGGTGAAATGTGGCTTTAGGAGCTAGAAATTGTAATAGACTAAGGTTGATTAGGCCCATTTTTTTGTCTTGACAGCATAAAAGATGATGCATAGGTATGTTCACATGTATGCACGGCACTATTTCCAACATTCAAATGTGGAGAAATATGGAAAAAGATAAAAAGCAATTGAGAGAAAGCAGATTGAGAGCCAATAAAAACCTCAGATTCTTATCATTTCCCTGCTCAACTTTAATTTAAAGAAGTAGGGAAAAAAAAAAAAAAACAGACGGAGAGAAAGAAAGAACAATAAAAGCGGAATGAATGCAGAGTCAATACTAGCATCAGCTGCGCTCTTTAACTATGAAATCACGGCCTTGAAATGTCCCTGAGCTTTAAGCGACTGTGAAAGTAAAGTCTGATATCGACGAGCTGCCACTGCACTGCTGCCTGGGACATAAAGGGCTACGAAAAGCCGCTCGCGCCGTTTCTACGACTCCCGGAGTCGCTTCACATGTGAGAGAAGAGAAACGAATGAAGACATCAAGGTAATACAGGAAACCATTTAAAGGCGGTTAATGATGACTTGCAGTGTGTGCCTAATTAGCAGGCGCAGATCAAAGGTACACCATGATTCCCCTAACGCTCGGTTTCAGCCTTTCTTCGGTCAAATATTACAACATTCTTAGAAGTGCAGCATCTACAGCAGCGCTTGCTTACAGTTCTAGCCGGATTAATTAACCCTTCATTGACACCATCACTTATTCAATCACTTATGCCTTTAGCAAACTCATTAAACCGCTGTTAGCCATTTCACCAGTTATTCATCTTTTTAGGCCATTTAGAAGATTTATCCTTTACTTTCTGCTATTTATGCAAATCATTTATGCATTACTTTGCTGAACTTTGCTGCTTAATAGTTCCTAGCTGCACTTTAAAATGCAGGTTTTTGTGTTATAGCTGGAACAATATGCAGCTGTGCACAAGTTAAACGCTGCAGAACTACACACATGATCTTTTTTATAGCAAGAAAACTGCCCCCCACATATATGCATGAGTTTTCTAACACAGTATAGGAAACATAGCTCACCTGGTATAGGGATGACTGGGATATTCTCATTGGCCACCACCCGTGGAGAGCTGCTGTCCTCCACATAGAAGTGAGCTGTCTGGAAAAATCTCCTGCAGGAACATGGAGAGATAAGTACAGTGAATGTGGCGCGGCGAAAACCACACACTATCAGCACAAATGATGCAGTGGAGTGTATTAGGGAGTCGTTATGCTGTTGTTTCTCAGATCTGGTCTGTCAACATCAGCATAGAAACGTTGAATAGAGTGACAACGGCAGAAAACTGCTAATGAAAACCCCAGAGTCGCCGGGACACCGCTGATCGCACACAGAGAGGGGGGAGCGGCTCCTGGAAGCAGTCTGAGGTGACTACAGGGAACAGGTAAACAACTCACGGCGACACGCTGCAGCGCCGTGCCAAGTTTAGCTCTTTACGCAAACCGAAGACTGAAGAAACCAATCCAAACATCGAGTCCCTCCTCAGGGCCACTTTTAAGAGGTCTCGCAACACTTTGTGGGCATTTTCTGGAGAAAAACTCATCAGCAGCTGCTGCTCAAAAAGGTAACGCTCATAATTATGTAATGCAGCACTCACTGCTGGAAAACTCCTCTTGCTTCAAAAAAAACTTTCTGCAAACCGTGTTGGACAATTCCTCCCAAAGTCCACAGTCACAGCATGAAAAACTGCAAGCACCATGAAAATTACTTGTGTTGCGATATTACAGCTTGGTAAAAAGGTCAGCTGTGCATTTTTTAAGGTTAATACATTCCACATTCAAGACATCCTTCTCCACTTTAAGCAGGAAAAAAAAAACAAAAATCAACATTCTTAACATGCTGAAAAGAGCGAGCGAGGAATCTTTATGGCCCTGAACAGCTTGCATATCCAGCCTCCCTTCTAACACACAATGTATACTAATGAATGTATATATCTCATCCCAGCGCTAACAAATCCCAGGTTTAATCCTACCTGTACTTGATGCAGAGGAGGGAGCAGATGCTAGTCATTCTTAAAAGAGAGATGGAACAAAAATAAAAAGCTGGCGTTGCATTTAAAAGATGTAGGAAGAGAGAGAGAGCATGCGAGAGAGAGAGAGAGAGAGAGAGAGGTGAAAAACAAATGAGGGAGGAGAGCTCCCCCCTGGTCTGCGTCACAACCTCCCAATCTAATGACTCCCTTTAAGTGCAGATGTGGTCCGGCTACCGAGCATCCCCTCACTGAAGCTCTCGCACAGTCGCACGAGGAAACTTTGAGGGAACAGAAACTGGGAGGAAATTATCTTTATGAGTGGATGTCAGATTTATAAAAAAAAAAAAAGAAAAAAAAAAGGAATGAGGCCTCCTATTCGCTGTCAGCAGCTACCGACGTGCGCTGGGATTTGTTCTCGGTTCAACATCTGTGAGTTTTCAACAATCATCTCGAGCCTCAGAGGGTTCCAGATGTGTACTGTAACTCCTGCAATTAATTCCAATGCGGAGAGACTCATAACCGGCGAAATGAGCGAGCTAAAAATAACCAAAAAAAAAATTCACTAGATGGCCTACTGGTCACTTAAATTAACATTTCAAAATCAACTGGATCGCGGTGTTAATTTGTTAATGACCAAAACATCTGCATTCAGGGAAAGTCGCTGGCTTTAATGGCTGCTCCGTCACCGAGAGAAAGACTGCGCAGAGGACGAAGAGTAAAGAGAGTGTGAATGGGTTGATTTCATCCTCCATCACGGCCTTCTCCCTTGGGGGAGCAGCCATTGTCTGCTAACTGTCTTAGTTGTCACAACAACAGCTGCAATTGCCGTTCCCCATCTCCCCTGCTTTTCTACTCAAATACCACAACTCTCAGTAATTCATCCACCAACTGAATCCAGTCATCTTGTTTTCGGCTGTCTATTTATTTATTTATTTTTGCATCTCTAAAGAGCTGATAGCCAGGCTTTTATTTATATCACACTCTTATATTATCTGCCAGGGTAAGGTGCTGGAAACATTAGCTGCAGTGATCCTCAAAGAGCCGTCCTATCAAAAGAATTCAGAAAACACATTTCAAATATAACCCCACCCCCACCCCCAAAAAAAGAAAAGAATCTTGGAGTATAAACAAATAAAATCCCACACAAGTAGGGGCAGTAAATATCCACAGGACCAAGTGAGGAAATGGTCCATGGTGTTATTTGTAACTCATTAACCATCCGACATGTGCTTGTGGCCTGGCCTGTGTAATTACTGGGGCTCCAATAGCGTGGCTGGAAATTAGCCCAGCAGATGAAGACACAGCTGGGACCCGTGATGGCACTGCAGGGCCTTCACATCTATTGCCCCTCACCCAGGTGGGTGATGGGCCCGATGTACAAAGTGCAGACGAGGAAGCAGCCTCGCGACCAGACTGGTTGAGGCTGATGGATGTGCATGAAACGGACACGGCCAAACGGTGTCGAGCAGACTGGAAAATCCAGACATGCATGCTGGTGTGTCACTTAACACGAAATGTGAGTGCCGGGGGAAGGGGGGGGAAGAGGTGTATGGATGAGGGCAGAGTGGGTGGGTGGGTGAGTGGGGGGCACACGGTTATTAATACCTCTGCGGGAGGCATCACTGACAGCCTTATCAAGATGTGACATTTCTTTCTGCGATAGCACCCGATTAGTGACATTTTACTGTTCTGACAAATGTTTTTAGCAGTAAGATGATGCCGTGCGATAAAGACAGAAATACCACACGGTCCCTCACCTCCAGTAGACCATCACAATCAGCAGCATGATGAGGCACAGCAGCGTGAGCGCCGACACGACCACCAAGGGGACGATCCACACCATCCTGCCCATCCCCGGCGGAGAGGTCCGCGTCACGTTGGACAGGATGGTTCTGTCTGCAGGACGACACACATCACATGTAAATAAATAACTGACTGATCGTTACAGCGCCTATAGGAGCAGATTTACTTAAAAGCATTCCTTCCAAACACTAATGGCTTTTGTTTGTAGATGAATTGAAAGCTGGTGTACCCTATGTGCTCCTGACAGCTCCTCAGTTTCACTCTCAGTCGCAAACCTTTCTCCACAGTCATTCTATTATGTTCACAAAATGATTTGTGACAACATGATTGTGTTTCGTGTGAAGACCTTGAATTGTTCCCAAAATTAAAGCCCAGACAGACAACAACGCAGCCAGACTGAGCTCAATATTTTGCTTAGTTTAAAAAAAAACAAAAAAAAACGATCCACAGTGAATAATAACCCTAAAGGCCTATTAAGGTAAAATCAGACGCACGAACTCTGCCATCAAATGTTGTGACATCAGTGACAGAATAAACACACACACACACACACACACACACACACACACACATCACAGGAGATTAAGCCTAATTGAACAATAAAATAATTTCAACCCAAACCTGCTTGAGCTGACACCTCCGACAGCTTCAAAAGAACATTGTTGTTCCTTTTTAAAGTGCAAATAGCAATCGTATATCATGAATACTGACTGCCTGATTACAGTTTTCAATCAATGTTCGCGATACTTGCCATTTCTAGCACTGTATTGGCAAAAAAAAAAAAAAATCCTCATAAACGCTTTTCCTTGAAGCAAACTCTTTTGAAATATGCTTAAAGGAATTCCTTGAGGCAGAACCCCTCTGGCAGAAAGCTTATTTTTTCCTCGAGGCCTCTGTCTTGTAGTGACACAAAAGCGCAGAGCTTTGTCTTTGACCGAGATGGTAACCAGTGTAGTTACTGTCTTAAACCAAGTTATTTGTTCTGTTAAATTGGGCTCCATAACTGCTGGTAGTGTTTACAGAATCACGCTTTGAAGAAAAGTCTTGCCTTGTATGATAGCTGACAAGAGAACAAGGCTGTCTGAGAGTTCAAACAAAGACTTCTCGGCATTAGAGAGGTTTAAAACGTGTCTTATCTGTGTGAAAGAAGGAGGTCTGCTCACCGGTGTGGATAGTGAAAGGCCAGATTTTGTTCCCATTACTAGTCTTTGGAGACTGTGTGGAGCTCTGGGGAATCTGCATCTCTGCACTGTCATTACGGGGCTCCTGAGTGGAGACTGCATTTACATCTGTGGCTTTCGTCTCCATGTCGACCAACTGGCCATCGCCAGTGCTTGGAGGTACTGTGATACCTTTAACTGTAGGTTTCCCTTCTCCTTTCTCTTTGGCTGTGGACGCGGGGGTGGGGATTAAAGGCTCTTTGGCCACAGTGCTGTTCGCTTGTTTTTCCTCATTATCAGGTGCAGTCTTGCTCTTTTTCTTCTTCTCGTCCTCTTCCTCCTCCTGCTCGCCTTCCCTCTCGCCCTCCTCTTCCTCCTCTTCCCCGTCACGTGCAGCCTGGTTCTCCTCAGTCGGGCTGTCTGCCTCCGAGCCCTGAGGCGCTGCCTGCTCGGTGCTGGACTTTGCAGGTGAGGCAGACGGACGCGTGGGGTTCTGAGTGGCTTGAGGCGCCTGTGTAGGCCAAACAGAACTGGGCAGAGACGAGATGACCCCTCCGCCAACACCTAAGCCTGCCAGCAAGGTGCTTGTCACCACCGACGCCACCGTGGCCTGGCTGCCGCTAGACGAGGGGCCCATCCCTGTTGCCATGGAGACGATGGAGAAGTGGATACCAGAGGACGTCCAAGTGGACGAACCGGAGCTGATGGGAGCCATGTCGGCCGAGGACGCTGGAGAAATCGTGGGCTGAGGGAGACAGGCAGAGAGAGAGAACACACGGTTACCCAACGGCGTCACGTGAATAAAAGAAAGTAGAACTTCCATCTTGAGAGAACTAACCATCCCAGTCTTCACAATGCGAGACCCTTCAAATATTCTCGTTGTGTTGGCTGCAAAACAGAAGAGGAACAGGGAGTTTTTATACAACAAATACATGTCCATGATGTGAAGAAAGTTAAAACACGTAATGAGTCAGCGGCTGAGAGCTTCGACCACGTACCTCTGAACAACAGCGTCTGGCTAAAATCGCTGCGCAGGTCATGCTGACAAACCGCCTGCACTCTGAACAGGTACAGGACTTCCGGGGACACATTAGTGATGACCGCTTTCTGCAAGAGGACAGAAACGCACACAGATCGGTAAAACCACAGAAAATTATTACAGAATTTTTCAGTGAAAATATATTTGAAAGTGAGGATGTTGTTAATTCACAACACCTAAAATGAAAACATACTGCAGCTGTTCTGTCAACAGTCTACGAGCGACGAGTCCGACGCTGTTCAGGAACTTCGCTTTCCGTTTAATTTAATTGTATTTTGCAATTTGCAGATGGCTTTACTTATATTAAAGCCGTTCTGAGAGCGGATGTGTAATTGCCTCTGGTGTTGCAGAGCTAGTATTTCACTCAAATAATTCAGATAAAAGGTGTCCAAAGATAGAAACTGAAAATTGAAATGGAAATGAATTGGGCAAAATAAGAAGGACAGACAGCAGAGAGAGAGAGAGAGAGAGAGAGAAGTGGACGTAAATGTAGTCGGAGTGTAGTGACTGGCTGCATTAATGGAGTGTAACTACGCGGGCAGAGCGGCACACGGACGCAGTAATCACTCTTTCAATCAGGCAATGCAATAAAAATATAACAACAACAATATAAACTTAATGAAACATAAAGGAGAGCAAATAAATCATATAGTTACATTAGACAGTTGCTTGAAAAACAGCCAATTTAAAAAAAAAAAACACGGCAAATAGCGTCACAACATGTTTCTACGGTGCCATATTGCAAAACGGAGTTCAAATGCAGCTTTTAAGGAATTACTCTGTTTGCTTAGCCAATGTTGGCCCTGCTCGCTAACATTCTACCTTTCTGTGTCTCATTTCAGCAGGACTAGACTGTAGAGACTCGCCAGCGGAGCCAGAGGACCTCGGGGTGCAGAACGGCTGATAAAGAGCTAAAAGGTCAGTAAATGTTATTGGAAGATGCCTAAAGAAGCGAACGGGCAGCAGAGGGAGATTGTGAGTGAAACGCTTTCTGTGTTTAACATCAGACAAAACAATTGTGGCAGATTTCCTAACAAGCTGCAAGTGAGATACGGACTTCTGAGCGGCGTAGAGTCGAACGGCAGAAATGTAAAGGAGAGGAAATAAATATTCATTTATCTTTAGCTGAGGTTTAATTTGTGAGGCAGCTCCTGAGTGCAGAAAGCCTGATTGCATATTCATTTCAAGTTACTTGTCCATCATTTCTAAGCTTCAATAACTAGATTCCAAGTTAAAGATCCCTTCCAGGCATGTTTGAGGACATAAAGTATGAAGATAAGCCGCACCGAATAACCATTTGTGTCTGAAATGTTTTTTTCCCTCTTCCACAAAATAGTTCAATTACCTGGTTAAAAATTCTTAAAATTACATCTCCTCCTCCTCCTCCTCCTCCTCTCCCAGAATCTATGAATATGCAAATTATGTTCATTTCAGAAGTGTAAGTGCAGAACACAGTGTATTTGCTCATTCACTGAGAGGCCTACGCTGGGTGGAGGTGCACTGGAGGCTCACATAAACTCATATAAGTTGCATATTGGACCACAATTGGCTTCGAAACTAGTTGCCACAAAATCGTCTTGTCGAGTGTGAACGGATGAGAGTAAAAACAGATTTTCGGTGTTACTCTGCATGAGCATCCTCCCGCACGGTGAAGGTTACACAAAGTGAAGCAAACACACCCTTGAGTGGAGAGTTATTACCTTAACGGATTAGCTAGTTCTTTCCTTCAGATCCCACTCCCTCTGTGTGGTTGCCTACACCAAACAGCAGCGTCTACTGCAGCTGCAATGCAGGATCCCTCACCACCTTCCAACCCACGACAATGACAACTGCGTTTTATTGGAATGCATGACCAAACCGGAGGTAGCAGCGCCACCAGGGAAAAGATCCCAGGTCTCTGAACTGGTGGGTGAATGTTTTTTTCCCCTGCACTGTTTATATCTAAAGAGGCAGTCATGCAGACTATCAAGACAGCTGGGGGTCAGTGGGCTTTAAAGAGATGCACAGTTGGGTGTTGTATTCCCACAAAGCAAGAAACATGTGACCAGGGGGGAAGAATATATAGTGTGAAAAAGAACAGCCCTGGAGGTGCCGTCTCCTGCAGGGGAAGGATATATTTCTGTGGACACACTGAATGTTGTGATGAAAAGATACAGTATGAACTGAAGGGGTAACTCAATGTTTAAAGCAGCCCAGCTCAATTATATGATCAGTGGATCAGAGATCTGAAAGACTACATTTGCTCTGCATTTTTCACTAAAAGCAGTTTGCGTTCAAACAGCCTTCTCTGCTGCCTGAAAACAGAACTGAATTTTTCAAATTGGCGAAATAAAAGTGCATATATTATTTTGTTTATGCTGCTTTTGTTTGAATTAGCCTTTTGATCCTGCAATACAGACGCCTACTTTGGATTTTAGCGAATGCAAGAAGGTAAATAAGCTCGACGATAGAAAATGGAACATCCAGGAAAAGGGCCACAGGTGCATTTGCCTGCACATTATACACACATCAGTTTGACTCGTCAACATCTCTGACAGCCCCGTGCTTCTATTCTTAGACAGGTGAGTGACAGGGGAGTGTCTGGGCTCTCATATCCACCAACAGCCACATGCAGAGTTCATCACAACCTGTCACCTCCTATACACACTGTCACTGATCCAGCCGACCTTTGATCCTGACAGAGACATCAGAGGCTCTGCAAACCAATCAGAGCTGCCTAAACAACAGCCGTGGCGGTGAAAATGAAATAAATAAATTCATTTAGAGGGGAGCAAATGTTTTGAACGGCGCCGCTTTAGTCTGGCGTGAGCAGGCGACGGTCCTCACCATGCTCTGGTCGTCCGTCTTGGTGAAGGTCTTCTCATCGGGAACGTCGCGTTTCACCCAGCTGTAGGAGACCATGTAGCTGGTGATGGGAGGGTGGTACACGGTCAGAGGCCGCTCCCAGCTCACTATCAACGCCGTCTGGTTCAGCGGCTGGATCTTCATGCTCACTGGGGCACTGCTGCACACTACAAGACGAGACAGAGAGAGAGGAGTGTGAACACGAGGCGGCACGAGAGGAAGGAAGAAAATAAAGAAGACTGACAAGAGAAAAAACGGTTGTGTCACTTTTCAACCAGCCGAATAGAGCCGGGGGAAGGCGGAGGGCTGTGATTGGGACGGCTGCTTGACCACATGTCCTTGTGCGTGTCGATGTGTGTGGGCAGAATGCAGGTTGTCTTTTAACAAGCCTATTATTACAGACTCCCGCTGACTTGACTCGACGCCATTTCCACTTGAAAAACCTCTAAAGGTGCGAGATGATACAGTAACTCAATAACAAAAACACTCCAGACGGCTTCGCTGGGGTCAGACACGACCTCAGGTGTCAGTGCAGATTATCAGTTTGGACACTCGTGGCTTTTTCATGCCGCCACAGTGCAAGAGACACCAGGCAGAATATCAAAAGGAGCAGTTACAGTGAGCTGCGTACGGTACACACAATACAGCGGCTCCTTGTCCACACCTAATTTGCACATACCTCTTTTTAAACAGTATTTATGAGGAAGACAATCTGTAAGTCAGCCTCAAGGTGGCAGTGCAGGCTGCGGCATGGATATTTACAAAAAAGGGATCCATCAGTATGAGTAAGGGACAATCTGGACATGCTTCTCAGCACATCAGGGCAACAGCAATCAGGAACTGGTGTCAAATGATTATGTGCTCTCGGAGTTTCTGCCAAATTGAAATTGTCACCACAGTTTTCTCCATTTGCAAAGTGAAGCTATGACACAAATTATGTGCCATGATATGTGGAAGGGAGACAGGGTGGAAGGGAATCAGTCAAAGGAACACGGGGCGAAAAACAATAGGAGGAAAATCTCGGCTTGTTGATTAGTTGTGACAAGTGCGAATGCATTAAAATCTGTCGGATGTTCGTTGTCAACTTCAGCGGCTCAACAACAATCATTTATTAGCAGCTGAAGATGTCACTGTGGTTTTAGTGCCGGCATCATTACCGTCCTGACAATCATCATCATCCTTTTTAAGAGAAAAAAAACACACACCAGCACATTAGTAATGTTCTTATATAACCTAGGAACCATTTTATCGAGTCGCGTTGTGCATCTAGAACATTCCTGTGTTGGCTAAAACTATCACATCAGGCTTAGTGCTGTGTGTTGTCACCCCCTCTAACATGCCCTATTGTGAGTCAGCCAAACCCCTGATATGGGCAGAAAAATTCATTTGTGCTCCTCTGGAACAGAAGAGGGGGTTTGTCAGTTCCTCTAAGGCTCCACCGAAAACAAAAAACTTCAACCGAGACGTGGCATAAATCTAATAATGAATCTAATGAATCGGGTGGAGATAATGGTACATCGGTGGCAAAATTCTCGACACACTAGAAAAATAAAATAATCATAAGATTCAGCTGTGAATAAACACTGTGTAACCTCCTAAAATAAGCCTCATGCAGGTTCCACCTCAGTCTGCAATAGCACTCAGAGCAAAGCATGAATCTTTATCCTGGCAGCCTCTACCATGAAGGTGATGAATAGGCTGTTGTCAACAAACAGCAGTTCCACTGCGTCTCGCTTCTAACGGCTGTACAGTACGTACAGTACAGAAGCGGCGTACAGACACTGGAATGATGGGGGAAAAAATCTCAACCAACACACAAAGAAAGAAATTGAAGCGATTTAAACATGACTAGATGTTTTCTGAACTTTGAAGGGAAGTCAAGGCACGCATGTCAACTAACTGCCTGTTTGAATATGATTTTTTTTTCTCTCCCCTCGAAGAAAAAGCCTCGAACGTTCTCTGTGAGAAGACGTGCTGCTTGTCTCCATTTTATCTTTGCACGTTCACTACTTCTCAGTTTGCTCAAGGCATCATCATGGGCTCTGATGGGCATTTTAACACCATTTTTTATCAGCACTTTACAAACAATTAACTACTTGAGAAAACAGTCAGGGTAACTGATAACAGGAATTAAAGTAATGTCAGCATTAAGCGCGCCATCTACAATTCTAAACAGAAAAAATAACATGTTTGGTTTGCTTTTGAGAAAAAGGCTTAGAGAGCCGGTTTGTTTTTTTTATTTCCACATGCAGAGATAGAGTTTTAGAGCAAACACGTATGATAAAAATCAATACTGCCCTAAATATCTTGGCATTATTACCAGATAAACAATAAATCTCTGGATCGCTAATGGCCAAACAACCGCTATGGCTATAAAGGAGATGGTGATGCGGCCCTGACTCTCACAACATTTACAAGCAAACGCTATCATTTACCGTGCGTGGACAAATATTCCCCCCAACACAACCTTGACTGATGTCACCTAGAAGATACGACTGACAGCGTGGATCCCCAGCGCCTCCAATTACTTACAGATTCTCACATAGATCAACCACCCGCATACTACCGTGGAGGCCCCTCTCGTGCTGCCAGAACGGCTTCATAAGATCTCTGTAGGTGTTCTGTGGTAACAGGCACCAAGATGTTAGCAGCAGATCCTATAGGTTGTGGTGTGGAGCTTCCACGGATCGGACTGTGAAGATCCTCAGTCCTCCAGGTCATGGTTATTCTCGTAGTTTAATCGTTCCTTGAGGACGCTCCACCTCTCATCCAAGAGGCTTCATCAGTTCTGACTGACTAGTTGGGACTTCCAGAGGCTTGAGCCATTAACACCTGAGTTTTATTGGGGGTTTGTGGCTCCTCCCCCTGACACAGCGGGCTTCGTTAAGGTCTTTTGTGGCTAGGTGTGAAAGTGGTTTCATCTTCCTGGGGAGAGTTCTTAATCTAGATCCAACTGGGAGAAACTGGAGGCCGAATCAACATCTTCAACTATTTATTATCTTCCTGAATAATATTTGCTCCGTGGCAGGGCACCTTAACCTGCTCAAAGAGGCCACTGCCATCAGGGAGTACTGTTGCCGTGATGGGGTGTGCGTGATCTGCAGCCGTGTTTGGGTGGGTGGTACATGTCAAAGTAGCATCCACATAAATGCCAGGACCCAAGGTTTCCCAGCAGAACACCGCCCAGAGCGTTGCGCTGCCTCTGCCGGCTTCATTTCTTTCCCTGCTGCCGCATCCTCCTGCCATCTCCTCCCCGGGCGAATGACGCACTCGGCTGTCCACGCGATATAAAAGAAAACGTGATTCATCAGACAGGCCACCTTCTTCCATCGCTCCGTGGTCCGGCTCTAATGCTCACGTGCCCACTGTAGGTGTCAGTGCAGGGGTCAGCGGGAGCACTCTGATCAGTCCACAGCTCCATATGCAGCAAGCTGTGAGGCACTGTATGTTCTGACACCTCTCTATCGCAGCCAGCTCGGGGTTTGCAGCGAGTTGTGCTGCAGCAGCTTTTCTGTGGGATTGGACCTCACCAGCCAGCCCTCGTTCTGCACATGCATGGGTAAGCCTTGGGCACGTCTCGCCGGTTTACTGGTCGTCCGTCCTTGGACCACTTGCGGTTGGTGCTGACCACTGCACACTGGGAGCACCCCAATGGACCTGCTGTTTCTGAGAACCCAATCATTTAGCCATCACTATTTGGGCCTTGTCAAAGTTGCTCAGAGCCGTACTCTGGCCCATATTTCTTGCTTCCAACACATCAACTTCAAGAACCGACTGCTCACTTTCTGCCTAATATATCCCGCTCCTCGACAGGTGCCACCGCTATAAGATAATCAATGTTATTCGCTTTGCCTGCCCGTGGTCTTAATGTTCTGGCTATTAGTTGTTTAACAGAAATAGAAATGCAAAATAAACACAAAGAGAAAATGAAAAACAGAGGAGCAGGAAAAAGAAAACAGAGAGACACTGGTCCACATTCATTCTGCCTACTGACATAATGCCACAATAGCAATTTCACAACTTAATTTGTATGGGTCTATTTTAGCTGTGCCACATATTAATGATGATTGCTGATCGGCCCTGTTAGAGTGCTCCAACTTCATCACAAGCATTCCCAATCAATTCTCCCCGCCAGACACCAACAACACCACTTTAAGGAGCAGCAGCCTTTCTCATTAGTCTCCATAGTTCCTGTACTGTTCTGTTAAAACAAGCTCGGCATGATGCGCACATAAAAGAGAAAGAAAGACAAAAATACTCTGATCAAACCCCGCATGAGGTCTGCGCTTGGTATTAATATGTTCTTTGAAGGATGAGTTGCAACACTGAGGAAATGGCATCTGCCAATTTTTTTTTTTACCCAAAATGCTCCTGAAATTTGAATTATTACATATTGTTCTGTTGACATTAATAACAGCACAAAGTGTTCCGTGAACAACCGACTAAAAATTAAAAAAACAAAAATAAAAAAGGAACCCCCTTCAAGCGATTCGAGCGAGGACCTACGAAGGGATCCTGATCTCAGAGTTTCCTGAATTTGTTCCCAAAACTCCCAAGACGCTAATGTTAGCCTAATGAGCTAATTAGATACAGCTAATAAAATCTGCCACTTTTAGCTGGCAAAACCAACAATTACCAGAGAGAAATAAAAAGCTTTGGTCTGTCAGAGGGTAACAAAACTAGCACAACAGAACTCGATTATCAATTTGGTAATTAATTAACAATATTACTGATTGAATATTAATAAATTACCAAATCTATTTGTATTAACCTCCAGTTCCCAAACAAAGAAATACACAAAACATTTCATATCTACTGCTGCAACAAACAATAAGACCTCAATGACGTAGTATAGAATATGAATATTCAGGTAGATATCTTGTGTCACAGATTTGAGTTTTTTGGTTGTTTGTTGTTTACTGATTTTCTGACAGTGATAATCATATACTATAATCCACACGTAACTGCGATGTAAATGACCGCAGACTCAGTTCACAGCAAAATCTTACCACTCTCAGTAATTCAGGCAGCCATTCACGAGAACTAATGAAATAGTAAGCAATAATCGCAATTACTGGAGCTCCCCGGGTTAAAGTACTGTTGATACGGTCGTTCTATAGCGCAAATGACGGGGGAAATTGGACGCCATGCAGAAAACAAAGCTCACCTCTCGAAGCCTCGGTGCTGTGGGGACTTCCCAGGATCTCAGTCAAATCTTTCTGCCACGCATCTTTTACAGCCGACTTAAAAACCTTCCTATTATCCAGGTCCTGCGGGGGCCTGAAGTTGTTCCGCAGGTACTCCACAGACTTGACGTGGTCCTGTTGCTCCGTTGTAAAGATGGAGTAAAAAGCGTCCAGCTAGAGGGAAAGAAACAGAGAACGGCTATTAAAACGAATGTAAGTGCCTTTGTTAGTATGTGAGCACATGTATGTGTCTATGTGTGCTAAATATCACATACCATGCTGGACAGTATTTGCCAGCGGCGGACTGCTCGCAACCATATTTGCAAGAAACATCCACGCCACAGACACAGGCTTCAATCATCATCCTGCCTACCTGCTGGGCTGTGACTTCTCAATGGGGCAAATTTGTGGCCATTGATTGCCATGAATGATCTCCTGCCGCGTGCTGTAATGACTACACATTACAGATACTGTGGAATCAATGTGTCCTGTGCATGCTTGGCGAAATGAATTACAGGTTCATAAAAGACTATCTGTGAGCGTCACAAACATTGTAGAGGTGGTCAATATTCTTGCAGCAGAAGTCATTTCTGAACAAAAGATTTGTCCTCTTGCAAGTTGATAGAAATTCCACTGAGCCCTGCAAATTTCAACGGCGCAGAATGCTCTGGAGGATATGCAGCTGGGTAACCCGAGAATTGTATGTATAAAAGATGCAGCAAAGAACTGTGTATGGGATCAGCAAAAAAAAGCGTGGGGCATGATTTGGCATATATTATCTCTCAAAATCACAGCAGCAAAAACAGTTGGAGGAAAAGATGTTCCTGAGCACATAGGTGGGGAAAAAAAAAAAAAAAACGGCACATTTTTCATTTAACGTTTTTCATCAAAGTGTTACCGCAATAATTCAGATTAATGAGCATTTAAATTGATGAACCTGAACAAGCCTGCAGCCTCCATGTGAAGCAGTGTTCTATTTAAGAGCCTATAGTGACTGTCTCAGACCAACAGCATGATATATGTATAAGTGCTATCTCACACTTACTATCATTCAAATGCCAGTAATTGGCTCCCCCTTCCTGCTTAATCATCCACTATATAGGCAGTTATGGTTTCATATGCAGAGGAGCTGGAGAGGAACGAGGGAAAGGGGAAGAAAGGGGAGAGGCAGATGAGGAGGGTGTGGGGGTGGGGGTGGGGGTATAGCGCGTTGACAGTGTGGGGCAGCAAGTGATCCACTGACTGTGTGCAAATGGGATCCGACTGTGCGTGGAGAATATAGCCGTCTAGGCGTGTGTGTGTGTGTGTGTGTGTGTGGACTTAACGCACCTGTGAGTGGGACAGATACACGGGCCTGGAGAAGATGATCCACTCCACTACCTTGCTGCAGGGCGGCGTGGTCAGAGAGCCAGTATATCGGTAATAACTGTCCACTGACGACGGCAGCAGATCCCTCAAGATGAACGACCTCAGGTTGGTCTCCTTTTCTGGATGAGGCATATGCAACTTGTCAACACGCAGAATGCTAAAGCACAGAGTTTTTGTACAGCATCTTTCACATCTTTCACGCTTTGCTAAAAACCCTGCATATCTTTACGTCTGCACCAACGTTTACAAAGTTGTTTCATTTCGCTCTCCCCACCCCCGTGGCATTTTTACGGCTTCCCTGAAACCTTCGCTCATGGAATTGCAGTAGTTAAAAGCCTCACCACTTGTTATCACTCCGGGCAGATCTCTGTACTCAGATGGGCTGAGAGAGGAGCAGAGGGAGGGGAGTCTGATAAAATGGCCAGCTCTGACAGCTGATCTGTGGCTGGGTGGTAGCGCGCTCTGCTCCGTCTAACAACTGTGGCACAGGGATTAGGACAGATCCCAATGATTACCGAATCCGTTCAATCCCCTGATCAGAAGCAGGGAAGAGTGTGCAGCGAAGAAAAAACACACACAACAACAGGCAGGTATCATCCAGAGAGAGAGACGCCTTTATCTCCTCCAAATGTGCTGCGTTGGTTATGCAAGCGGGTTTGTTTTTTCCTTGAATTATGAGGAGGAAAAAAAACCCAAATAAAGCTGAATTTATGTCAAATCTAATCTCTCACAGCTCATGACCTTATCTTGAAAGCAACAGAGGTTTGGGGTGTGGTTCGTACTGAGACTGCTGAGGCACGGGAAGCCTCGCCCCCACGCCTCATCTGTACTCTGAGTCCAATTCAGTATGCACAGCCTTTCTTCTCCCCGTCTTCAGACAGCGTACGTGCCCTATCGCTCATGGGCCGCTGAGATGCTGATGGATGGATGACTGTGGGATAACGAGCTAGTGGAAAACCAACCATCCTAACAGGGGAGGAGGCGAGGAGCATTTAGCAGCTAGCAGGAAGCGAGTCCAAAAACCCACCACACCCACACCCAGCTCTCTGTCAGCTGGGAAACGAGATAACTGTGGTGTTAGCACAAACATCTGTGCAGCTGTGCAGCAGGGAGCGCAGCCATGTTAGGAGGCTGAATATTCACTCAGTGATACAGTATAATTGACATGTTTGCTAACCTGTCTACATCAAGGTTAGGCTACAAAAGGGACGTGAAGCTTGGACATCTTTATGATGTGAAAAACACAAGCAAAAAGGTCTTCCAGCAAACACCAGACTGATCAGAAATGGTCCCTTTTCTTCGCTGCAGTGAACGTTTTCTGATTATGAGGACAAATTACACATGTTCGTGCTCTCCTCAGCGGTGGCAGTTCTTCTCTTCACACGTTTGTCTCCAGCAAAGGAGCAAACAACTACTTTTTTTTTTCCCCCTCCGATGCAAAATGTCACAACCTCAGCATCGCACAACTCACAACATCAAACGTCCGTCTCCAGAAAGTCCAAATTATAATTAGAACCAAGCCAGTGAAGCCCAGCGCTGGTCTCGTGAAACCAGCATGAATGCACAGCAATTACTCCGTGTCTCCATCCATCCTCATACATTTACATGTCCTTGTCAGTGTATGATTATGCTCACAAAAAGACCGTCGGAGGCAGGTTGTAAAACAAGCCATACGTGTCCGTGTAAACAGAGTTGTTGTCTCCCCATCTGCAGTAAAGGATTACACGGCGACGCTAAAGCATGTGCTTATGGACTGCATAAGCCCTGCATCCAGTGACGCCAGCCCGGCAGCTGACAATATGCCACGAAGAATTATGCCACGGCACGCGGCGCCACACATTAATAGTTTAACGTTTGCAGAGAGAACGTATATGTTGCACTAAAACAGAGGGTTGTCTAATTGAGGCTCAGATGTAATTAATAGTTCTGTCTCTGTAAAGTGAAGCTCCTTTGAGGTCTCACGCCACAGAGCCGGGGAGAGGCAGCATCGTGCACATTTTGCCTCCGTTTGAAGTTAAACTGCTCGTATCTTGTATTTAGACTAATTTGGGATAAAAAAAATAAATAATATGAAAATAAAAGTGACACCCAATGTTTAAGCAGCTGAATGCAAGAGCACTAATATTTGTTTTCTGGAGGCAGGGAGGAGCAATATGTCTGCACTGTCTAGAGGAATTTGCCTCAAGGATCAGCCCAACCATCAGCTGCAGTAATGTCAGAGGGATTTTGTAAGGGACAATTGCTTTTTGAAAATCCCACATGAGCTTAATTCCCACTGTAATGTTTCTCGGTTAGGAGATTTCGGTATGACAGATAAAAATGTATGAAATAAATAACTACAAGCAGTGCAGAAAAACAAACAATAACCATCTATATGTTAATGGGTCGATGTACATGCACTCGCCACAGAAATATCGTTCCCCCCCTCCGACATGAAGCGGACTTTTTGGAAGGGGTTACTTTCTCATTACTCACCATGATGCACCACTCCTTTCAATCCCTGGATGATGGGATCCACAGCTGGGTTGTCTTTTTGCCCGAGCTGCAGGAAACGTCCAGAGACAAAGGATTACGAAAGAGATTACGGGACGAGTATAGTAATCTAAATAAAAAAAAAACAAACCCAAAAGACGATCAACGTGAACAAATTACGGGGGGGCGGGCACGATAAGAGCAACATCATTATATTACAATATAATCCAGCAGCACCTACGACCGTCTATTACCGCTGGGACGACGGTTATAACATCGTTTCTGTGTGAGCTTGTATGCTGTTTAAAAGAATTACCTTAAAGTTGTTTAGGTAGGAACACAGCTGTGCATCAACCTCTTTCATTGTGCTTTTGGTATTAAAGGTTTTGCATCAGTGCGACCTCTACAAGCCACCGTCTGACCCACGCACAGCTTCCACGGTGGATTTCTACGACTTTAAACATTTTGTGCCTCTTTTACAGCAAAATTAATGAAACTCTCGCATGTTCCCAGAATGCGTCTTTTAATTTCTCAGCTCAAAACCCTGTAAAGATGGTTCGCTTTACCATGACTGTATAATCCCCTGGTTGCTGTTTTAATGTTTCAGTGTTTTTAAGTTCTGCTGCCTTCAGGAAGAAGACTCGCTCTGCATCTGTGACTGAAACAAAACGGTTCAACGCGTGGCCACTAAACTCCTCTTTGAGTGATCATTTTTGCATGAGAGCAGCCCGGTTGTTGCTTTTACCTCGTGTGTTTTGTGAGCTTGTTGCAGTTATAAAACCAGCGTTTCAGAGCTGCAGCCTGGAAACGGCTCCGAGGCGACGGCTAGTTAATGTGCAGTCTCACTGGGCTGCGTTTCAGGCACTATGTCACACTTGTCCCCCCGTCTGACAGCAGCAACGCAGCAAACGTATACATTTTCATGGAAATACTGCTGGTTTCACTGCAGCTTTCCCTTTACTTCTGTGTGTGTTTATAAGGCATCAGTTAGAAAATCAGAAGGTGCAGAGCAGCAGCTTGAAAGTGACTGTTGGTTAACAAGTAGTGCTAATGAGCCACGTTTCCATCACTGCTTCATGCTCGCTCTGTCGTCTCACTGCAGAAACAGAAGTGAATTAAAGCAGCTTTTCGGGGGATTGGGCTGTATACGTGAGCACCGAGAGGAGCAAACAGATGCATGGCGCCTCCACACTAAACAGCGCCGGTGTGTTTCCCTTCAGGTGTTCACGCCTTGCGCTGTGCTGCTGCCGTACGCCGCGGCGCTTACAAACCGTCCTTGTGTTCTGTAATAACCTGAAGCACTCGTTCACTCTCTACATTTCAAAACTTTTACGTTTGACAGACGACGCTGCTGCTGCTGCAGCCGTTGTCCAGAACCGCAGTGCTGAGCGCAGCCAATCAATGACTGGAGCCAATAATGAGTGGCGTCATGACTCAACAATTAGGCAGAGATACCGAAGAAAAACATTTGTTTCCATGAACTGAGAAAATATAGCAGATAATGCTGACTAATCAGAGCCACGGCAGAACATCTGGTCGGCTTTATTTGTGGCCGAGACGTTTTAGAATCAGCAGTTTCAACAAACCTGGTGGACTGAAATGTAGCTGATAAATCTAAACTATGCTAATTTTTTTAGCTGGACAATTATTAGTCCCCCAGTTTCTTCTTACCTACTGAACAAATCCTGGCTGGCTGGTAAAGCTGGGAGGCTATCTAGCTGTGGGAGGACTAGAGGATTGGCAGTAGTAGCGTCTTCGTATTGTCACAGCTTTCATTTCACACCTCCAAGATTATAAAACATACAAAACACACGAAAAATGGATCTCACACCATATGAGACCTTTAAAATCAGATTTAATATCGAGATTTCTATGCACGTGTGAAGAGCGGTGCAACAAACTGAGCATAACGCAACATTATTTCACCAACTGATTGTTATAAAATATATAACTGAAAGTAACCTGCAGCCTGAATCTCAACTAGAAAATATGCATTCAAGGTTGCATTTTAAAAAACGCTGCTGGAAAAACGCCCCCCGTGCAGGCTCGTCCGCTCTTAGTTTATGGATACAGCATCTGAAATTGCAGTTTGTTTGGTAGCGGTCTGTAGTGAGGCTCTCGCTGTGAGAAGCGATAGTTTTGCAAACAGCAGCAGAGACGTGTGAGCACAGCAGCAGCAGCACCACGGCTACTATCCCTCATGGCAGGCAGTCTGGCCAGACCATAGCTATTTGGACCACTACGCAATTTTTCGGTGCTTCCACGCATCCCATTAGAAACAAACTACCGGACACTACATTAAAGCACCTACATGTGGACTTTTCTTATTAAGAGGCGGCTCACACACAGCACACACAGAGGCTTTATATAAAAAAAAATATCTTCTTTGCTCATCTAGTATAACTCTCAAAGGGGCTCTGTGAGGATCTCTTAATCATGTCAAACTTATGGTTAAAGCAAGAGGCATGGGTGCCAAGCATCGAGATAAAGACGGAGCATTTCCTAACTCGACAAAGCCCCCCCCCGAAAAAAACAGAAATAACGACTAAAATAGCTCAATATCTGTCTGCTGAAGCGCAGGTTAGTTGAAGACTCTCCGCTTTTCAGATTCTCTCAGTTCGTGTCGGACCTGCGCTGCACACATGATGAATTCACGGTGAATTCTCTCACAGCTCCCTTGATCCAAATGCCAAATTTTTCACCCCCCCCCCTTTCTTTTTTATTTTATCCACACAAACCACATTTTCCTTGGTCTTTACAAAACTACGAGCTGTATAAGTGCGTGTGCAGCAAGCAAACTGGAATGTGGATCATTGCGGGCGAGACAAGGTGGTGCCGGCCTGCAGTCGTCGTCGTCGGGAGGCGATAAAAGTAGATCGCTTGAGCCGGGGTCACGGACTGATGGTCATATTGAAATAGCTGTAAAACTTCCTTTTAATCAACTTTCATTGTTCTAATTTCCATTACTTGTTAGGTTTCTAATGACCCCCCTATTGTATGTGGTGATGATGACTTCTTTATCTGTTGCTCTTACAGGTAATTGTTTGCAGTGACTGACAACATTTTTCAGCCCCACATTTTTTAAACAATATTCCCAATGTCCTACTTAAGAGACAAGACTGGACAAAAACAGTGTTGGGATGCGGGGACCAATCCTCCCCTTGCTCAACATTAATTCAGGTCAGTCAGAGGAGAATAATTGTGTGGAACTGAATGCTGAATGTGGATAATATGCACACCTTAGAGGCCATTAATAGGCCTTTAGGGAGCACAGGAAGAATTCCCCTCATTGATTAGAAATGGTAAATCTGAGCCAATGTGTGTGTGTGCCCGCTTAAAACCCCCTCGCACTGTAAACTGCTATTCAGCGGATTGTGTACGGCGGTGCTAATTGCAGTAAGCAATAGGGCTGTCAGGACCCAGCGGAGGCATTTAGGTCCTCGTACACACACGGTTCATCACTGTCTGAGAGCAGACCTACATTATAAACACCTGTGTCCCCATTCCAGCCTGCCTCCGCCGGAGAGCTGACCCCTGCCTCTGCGCCAGTAAGCTGAAGGTTAGCGAGCGCCGATCGCCCGCCCATCGATTGATATCGCTGATAGAAATTAGCACAGATCCGATCCGGAAGTTGTCGGCGTTGTTGCTCACAGTTCATAAATCTCTAAGGTGTTTTTTTTTTTTTTTTTTTTAATGCCTAAAAGAAATGAGGACCATTCTTACTCATTAGGAGCTTATGTGTTTGGCTCTTTAGGGAACAATTTGTAGTATCTTAGTAGCGATCCGCCGAGAACAAGGAACACAATCAGCAACCAGGTCAAGGGAAGAGATCCTGTCACAACACGGCTACAAACGATGATTTTTTAATAAGTGTTTATCATTTACTGACTGAAAAATTCACCTGTTTTAAATCAGACTAATACAGTTTTCCTGCTCAGCTATTTTACAACGCCTTCGTTTTTTAAAAATCATATCCAATTCCTACAGTCAGCGTCTTTTTTATCAGTTTCTATTGATTCACTCATCATCTTGGTTTTGTAAAGTGTTCCTAACAGCTGGCACTATTTAGATAGTCATTTTAAACACCTGCAAAAATGGATGTTTTTTTATCAATACTACCAGCAGCTACACGCGGCTATTATTACAAAGAGGGTTTCCTCAAGAGCAATACAGCGGCGAAATGAAAAAACAACTAAATATAGGTTTGAAAGAAGCACTTGTATGCATGAGCGCTGCATGGTTTAACAAGCCTTACAAATGGCTCCAAAAGGCTGCACAGGCATTGGCTGGATGCTAGCGAGTTCACACAGACGATGCTAAGGAAGTGTGTTGCTCACCGTCTTAGCTTAGCTTGCTAGCAACATTCCCCCATTGGTAATAAACAGTAAGTACGGCTGAGGCTGATGGTGATGTCAGTAATTTTTGTAAAGTATTTGGTCATAAACTGAAGAAAATTATAATAATTTCTGGTGAAAAAAATCAGAAGGTCATCACAGTTTATTCTGCAAGGAGCATAAATGTGTATATCAGTCATTGAGCCTGGACAAAAATGGCCGACAGATCACCACGCCGGGGCGGAACGATTTGGGGAAAACATCTAAATGGGATTGTTCTGACAGATATTGCTATTTGATTTGCAATATAATCCTTTAAAGTCGAGCCTTAGTTCAACAGATAACAGATTTAAAACTGGATCGAACGTAACCACATGAGACGCCGAGAAAAATGTGTCGCTCAAAAAGTGCGGCACCAATTTGGGAAAACCACCGACGCAGCAGTTTAAACTCTGGGCTGCTGCATCATGCGCATCCCAAACTGCAGCCTTTCTGATTTGCTATTTAAACTGTTTCTGATTTTCTAGCAATCATTGGACGACAGACTTCCTGGATTTGAACCTGACGTCTCTTGACCTTTACTCCTTACCTCAAAGAAGACAGCCATGGCAGCGATGATGCGTCTTTCCTTGATGGCAGCGCTGAGGCTGTCAAAGTCGTCCGAATTGTAAAGGTAGATCTGCATCTGGGATGGGAAACAGAGCATAAACAGCTTGAGGAGTGGACAAGGAGAACGAACAGTCCTGTCATCAATCACTTGGACACACTGCTGAGGAGCTGATGAAAAGCTGTTTTGAGGGGCATAAGAGAGGGTGTATTTATCACTCCCATAAATCTCCCATAATCTGTGTCATTCCTTTTTGTGCGCTGCCACTCCTGGAGGATGTTGGAGAAATACAGCATCCCATTCCTCAGGGCGACTGTCCTCAGACGCGAGCTGAGAGGAAGAACTAGGAGAAACCTTTTTTTTTCTTCCCTCCTTCTCTCTCCCCCCTGTGCAAGGATCTAACAGAATGGTAAGCTTCTAATCACTGCTCCCAATTACCTTAAATCACCCACAACACTGCCTCTGATTTCACAACAAAGCTTAGGATGTGAAGGTATAATGCAAAAATAAAAAAACAAACACAGGATGCATCATATACTTTTCATGGCTCGGGAAAAAAAAAAAGAAAAAAGATTTCTTTCATTTCAAAGCAAACATATTATGATCAAAATCAGCAAATGATTCTAAAAGTAGCAATTGGAGCTGTCCATCATCTCACTGTCAGGCCTCTTTAAATTGAAAAACCCTTTCATGTCACTGAGCCGAGTTAATTGGCAATAAGAAAAAGGTCCTACATGTTGATTTAATTAAAAGAGTACGCTCAGCCTTTTTCCTTTTTTCTTTTCAAAGGAAAATTACGAGAAACCAGCAGCCGCAATTGGCTATGCTGACAACAGATGCAAAAAGTCAAAGTAAATAAGCGTATAAATAAGGATAAATCCATTAATGCGAGCCACGGGCCTAAACCAGGTACAAAATGACTCAATCCAGATAATTTAAGTTAATCAGTTTCCTTCAGAGTTCCTTTAACTGCAGCCCTTAATGGAACTAATTTGTTGTCTGAGAACTCAGCAAGAAAGAGCATTGGCCATTCATCACCCTTCAGATGTTATTAACTACATTACCCAATTAAGCTGACCCCCTTAGGCTTCATTTACTCACCGAGATTGGCTCATGTGACCTGCTCTTGTTAACGGCACACTTTGGAAAATGTGATTTTCAATTATCAAACCGTTTCATAGCAGTCAATAAAAAAACAAAGCAATTTGAATCACTTGATTACACATTGGGTTTACTGTATCCTTGTGAAAAGCCCAGCGTGAGAGAGAGAGAGAGAGAGAGAACACGCTTCATCCACAGCTACAGATTTTACCCGACGCTGTTGATTTAAAGAGGGACAGACGGCTGCTCGGACCAATCTGTCTGCAAAGCAAAGAGATGTGCTGTCCGCGTCTCCTGAGCCTTTCTCAAGTGTAAATTCAGTTTATTCCGGTCCCTTTTTTTTTTGTTGTTGTTTTTTTTGTTGTTGTTGTTGTTGTTTTCCGGCACAACGTGAGCGCGAACGCGAGCCGCTCTGCATTCCCGAGTTCCACTTAAGCACAAACAGGTGAAAAACAAAGTCGTGTTTGGCATGATTTCCCAAGACGGCGGAAAAATATTGAGGCGAAACAAGAAAACTAGAAGAAATAAGTTTGTGTGAGGAGAGATCTTAGATTTTATCACAGCAACACAAACGTATTTCTCCTTTTTTCTGCACCGCCGCAGCGTTTTTTTTTGTTGTTCGCAGGCAAATCTCTCTCCATTCTTGCACTCCAATCACACATAATCAACTAGCTTATCATTTTCACTTGAGCACCTACGAAGTGTTAGAGCACTCGTTTTCAAGCAGAATCAAGTGTGTGTAAAGTCGGCGTTGGAACTTGGTTGTTCACGTTATAAAATCAGAACTTCAGCGGAACAGGTGGTGAACGAGGTGCGAGTGAAACATGTACGTTTAAAATGACAGCAGCACAGAGTCGTTGTTGGGAGAGCGACGCACAAAACACTCTGTTATTTACTTTTCCTCCCTTTTCTGACCTGAGACCAGCTGCTAAAATGCAAGATGAACGCTTTCGTCTCCTGTCACGTGGCTCCTGTCGTGCACAGACACTCCCTTCGTGTCGGTCGTGTGCTACCGATGCTAGTCGGACGCCTCGTTACTTTATTGGCGGGAGCTCGCACTTCCTGAGAGCTAAACGAGCAGAAGAAGAAGAAAACATCTCTGATTGCATTTCCTCTAAATCCAGCCTTACTGGCCACAAACCATTCGTCAGCTCTTTTAGCAGCTTGTCGACGCCGGTGTGTTCACGAGTGCATCGTGTTTGTGCGTTTGGTTTTATGCAGTTGAATCTCTATTTGCTAATATGCTTCTGTTGTCTCCTTGCTTTTTCCACATTGTCATGGTCCACATGTGTTTCCAAATTGTTGTTTCTCTCACTATTTATTTTATGACTTGCGTGTGTGTGTGTGTTTGTATTAGTTATCTTAAGGTGCACTGCATCAGGCTCTCGACTCGGCGTGAGCCAAGACTAATGGGGTATCGGTCTTGACTCATCTTGAGACTCTCGTATTTTTCCCGACTAAACTTTTAGTTGCATAAATGCTTTCAGCGCTACTGGAGCTTTTCTCTTCCTTAGCCCCAACGCTTACTCATACATGCCTTGTACTGTGTGCAAATGCATACCCTTCCAAGGTGTGATTTGTAACCCATGTATAATTAATCTAACCTTGGTGACACTCTAATATATTATTAGAAAAGATCTCCCTATGGTACCCTGGGGGGGGAGGAGGGAGAAAAAAAAAATCCACAGTTTCATTTTTCATCGCGCTGTTTGAGCGAACAGGTGGTCCATCTATCGATTTCCCCACTTCACTCTCATGAAAAAGGCCGTGCTTAGATTAATGTCAAGCTCAGGAGCCACCGGCCGAGAAACCCATTGGGCTGGGTATTTTCTTCCCCAAACATAACCATGCAACAAAGTCAGATCTGCTCCATAATACAGCTCATTGAATTGAAATTTGTCTTTCCACCCCCGTACACAAGAAGTGTGTTTTCAGGCTCGCGAGCAGGTGGGAAAGCGTTTTGGCTTTTTTTTTTTTCCCTTTTCCCCCCCGACTGTAAGAGTAAATGCTTCATCCAGGGTGTTATATGCAAGTGAGGGCTGAATGTGACTCATTTGGACTGGAGAGATAATTAGACAGCAGATTGGAAAACAGTCTCTGTTTAGCAGAGGCAAATAAGCCCTGGAGCTCAACCTCCAAGGTCACGCTGCTCGACTCTTGAAGAACAAAACACCACAAAACAAACCTCTGCTGCAAAAGATCACTGGGTACAGTACGGGCAGCGTTTTGAGGTACGAAAAAAAAAAACACATGCAGAGTTGCGTCACATTTAATATAATCTCAAATACATCAAATTCTGCCGAGCCATAAATATGACAAATGAAAACAGCACATTTTACAGGATGGAGAAGTCAAATGGCTAAAGGCTAGATCCCACACAGCCACATTCCCCCTTCAAACATTCATCATCTGATTCCACTCGCTTACCTTCTGGTTCAGAACGTGAAATAATGCATCATGTTTGATATACGTAGGCCGACGTATTGATAAAAGAGTAATTTCTGAAAAGCAGACCGCCCACTCTGTGCTTTTTTCCCCCCCGCGGTGCGCCGTGCACATGTACATATATAATTAACAGGAAGTATCTGTGCTGATACGTGGATGGAGTATTCCTCTTTGTGCTCCGTCTGTAGGAAATGTCACCGGTAATGGCGTTTAACATGACGACGTGGCTGCTATCAGTCGCTGGCCTCCATTTTTTTATTATTTTTTTTCCAGTGTCAAGTCCATCCCATCTGGGCTCCTTCACACTTGATATGCTTGTTCACAGAATAAATGGCACAAGGAGAGGGTCACCCATCATTTAAGTTGTGAACAGTGCAGCAGATGTCCTGGCAGCACTGCTGTTGCTGCTATACGTTCAGGGTGCCAAATCCAAACCCGCAAATTTGCATCGCTACACTTATCCTGATGTGGAGCCTTCCTGGTGTTTTTTGTTTAGTTTGCATTCTATCACCTGGATTGGCAGAAGCTAGATGACTAAAATCCATTCGTTATTTAAACTTTTCTGCACTCGACTTCTCGGCAGGTTGATTAGATGTACAGTTAGTAAACTACAGACCTTGTATCCTCTAATGTAAAATATCTGAATCATCCCCTATTTTATTTTTAATAGCTCCTTTACAGTCACTTCACACACATCCCTCTGGCAGGTATATATTATGTTTCCTATTTAAATTAAAAGAGCCACTTAGCCTTGAAACTGTGACAGAGTAGTCAACGCAAAACACCTCGGTCTACATGCGGAAGGCACGCCGAGCTACAAATCTATATCTCACATCTATAAATTATATAACCTGAGGGCATAATTTTCTTGTTCTCTCAGCTTTTTTTTTTTTTTTTCCCCCCCCAACAGCTGTCTAAACTGCCCATTAAAGTGAATTCCGTCGTCTTATTTAGCAGCATCAAAGGAGCCATACGCACAACAGCTTTATAATGGCTGTATATAATCCGGTGCCCTTTAACACTACGCTGAACACAAAATGATGTGGCAAAAAATAAATCTAATTACTCAGCCATTCAGCATCAAAAGCCGTGCCAGCGGAGACGGCTCCAAAGACGAGGGCCAAGAAACAAACACGGGAGGAGGACGCTGGCTGGCTGGCTGTTTGGACTGAGAGGCGCGCTAACAGCCATTTTGTGTGTTTTCATACAGCGTTCAATTTAAAATTAACAATTTGACATTCGAGGGAGGGGTGAAAACCGTTCTCCTTAACCCCAAGAAACATTAAGAGCACGATGCATTTGCAAATTCAATTTAGATAATGAATAGGAACGGTATTGTAAATGATAAAAATTTGAAAGGCGCTAATAAGTCATTCTCAGCACGACACAAAGACTCCAGATTTCTGCTTTAATCCATGACCCAGAATAAATAATACTGAAGGGTTTCAGACTTTCCACCCTTTATATCTGTATTACAAGAGATGGTGATGATTTTTGTTGCTTTTCCTTTGTTACTTGCAGTCTGATCTCCCTTTTTTCAGCCTTTTTTTTCTCTTTTCTTTTTTGTAAAACCCTCTCCGCCTGATAAATTCCCACATCTTTTAAACTCTACAACCCCTCTTTGCAACAAAGCCCGTCTGTACTATAAATTTGTTATCTCCAATCATAAACCCAGATAGCCGCGCATTACGGTCGGCCTGATTTTCTCACTAATTTTCTGCATAGGGGTCGTTTTCTAGTAAATAGACTTTAATGTGTACAAGCAAAGGAATGTCCCTTTGAAACCGTTTTAACCACCAGATTTCTTTGGAGGAACCTTTGAAGTTTAGAATTCTCTTTAATGCAAACTAAAGACTGCACTCTTTCAAAAGATGTGCTATTGTATATTTTAGCTGCTTTTTTTTTAACTTGGGTAGATGTGAACAATAGATAACGACCAACCGGACTTAAAAACTGCAGAATAAATTCAGTTTTCTGCTCCTTAAACCAGCAGAGTTTCTTGGAAATGAGGTGAAATTGATTAATATAGGCGCCAATATGTTGCTTTAAGTCTCTTAAGCTTGCAAAAATGTAAATACCTGAAAAAAACAAGCATTATTTCAATAATTGGACAAAGAAATTAGTCAGATTTACAAGCAAAAACGGCGTCTTAAGCTTCATTTCCAGTAAATGCGGCTTAATCAAAAGCTACATGACGTTTGTACCTCGACAGGAAATCTTCTGCCGTTGATGCTGTGCTCCGAGCCGGCTGTTCCATTAGTCTGGCCCCAGTGAAACTCCATCTTCTCAGCCTTAAAGCGCCCCGGCAGCCCAGCACCTCTTACAAAGTAGTCATCCTTCAGGAGAACAGCAACTGGAGACAAAGAGGGTATAAAATGGAATCAAACAAAGAAGGGAAAATTAAGCACACTCGTGCAAAGGCAGCAAAAAGGAGATTACTAATCAAAGAGCGGAGTCTACAGAGGCTCGGGTCAGCACTGTGGCTCTTCATCTTGCTTCTTTTTTTCCTTCTTCTTCTTCTGCCTATTAATTCAAGATCACAACTTGATTCTCATTATCTAAAATTCCCATCGTTTTTTTGGGAGGGGGACAATGACAACTATCTAATCGCAAAATTGCACAAAATAGTTCCTGCTTATTCTATGTTTGGGAGCGGTTTGTTATCTCAGGATGCCATAAAATAACCTCGACGCTGTAACAAGACATCGCTGATGTGTTTATCAGCCTCTCTTTGTGACATTTCCAGCCGGTTATAAAACCTTGGACGGCTTCTTAACGGACACCGACGTGGCAATTCAACTTCCTTTTTCTAAGACGCGTATTGATTAAAGTTATATAAGCTGTCTGGGACTTATTGTGAAAATTAATAAACAGAAGAAGAAGAAGAAGAAGAAGACATAAACAACAAAAAAAATATCTCAAATGATCTCAACTATGAGGGAGTTTTCCTAACCGGCCACCCACAACCCGACACGCTTTGTTTCTTTAAGACCTCTGTGGAGAATCATTTAATAATTCGCCGGCCCTTCACATTCCATCGGTTAACTGTGAGGAGCAGGTTTAAGCTGCTTCATGATTCACTAGGAAGACATAATGCCATTCACTCGCCTTATGATCTTCCACCAGCCAGCTTTCCTTTTTTTTTTTACAAGGCTGTAATGTCATTGCTTATTTGACAGAATAGCAGGTATATTTTTTTTACATTTTCTCTCATTACAGGAGTCTGAACTTTTGAAGGTTTTCTTCAGTGACATTTTTATGTGAGGGGGGAAATAAAGAAATATAAGTCTTTTGGGTGGGCTGCAGGGTGGCGCAGTTGGTAGCACTGATGCCGGTTCGAGTCCCGGTGGGGGCACCGGAATCTTTCTGCGTGGAGTCTCCATGTTCTCCCCGTGCAGCGTGGGTTCTCTCCGGGTTCTCCGGCTTCCTCACACAAGGTCCAAAAACATGCTGAGGTTAATTGGTGATTCTAAATTGTCCGTAGGTGTGAATGTGAGTGTGCTTGGTTGTCTGTCTCTAAGTGTAGCCCTGTGATAGACTGGTTACCTGTCCAGGTGAACCTGCCTTCACCCTGAGTCAGCTGGGATAGGCTCCAGCCCCCCACGACCCTCGTGAGGATTAAGCGGTGTATAGATGATGGATGGATGGATGGAAGTCTTTTGGGTTTTATTTCATGTGCTGCTAAATGTACAGTAATTGCATTTACAGTGAATGAAGATGATTTTAAAATATGCACAATCGTTTTTGACTTTTTTTATTTTTTCTAAAAATCAGTGATTTTATTAGAATTGTTTGCTGGTTAACGTTTAAATGTCAAAACAAGACTCCAAATTAATTTATTAGCAGTAAAAATTCATGGATTAAGGATATAAACAATCTTAATATTTACATATTTGCTGTGTAAATTATGTGATTTTATGTCCCTTGGCACCCCGTCTAAATATTAAAAGCTGCCATTTTGATTTTTAAATCCAAACTTTAATATTAAGAATTCTAAAAAAAAAAAATAAAAAAAAAAGATCCAGCTTGTTCAGTGGAGGAGCACATTTCCCACTGAGCATACCATTTCTTTAAGGTTTCTCATGCAGGGTGTAGTCGGGCTCCCCGGCGTATTCGATGCAGATTCCTTTCTCCGACAACGTTCTCTTGAACCGCCTATCGGAAGCCCGGGATTCAGAAAAGCGGAGCGCTGTGAAAAACCTTCTCCGCCGTGTGAGAATTTTGTCTGCGAAATTAAACTCTGTAGACGAATCAATCAACCCAGATAATCTCACATTGGAGAGAGAAGACTTACTTATGCAAGATGTTGGTGTTTGCTTAAAGAGAGCCGCCTGTATCGAAATATACTCACGGGGGGATAGCACCTCGACGCCGCATATTGTTGCCATCTGTCGAAAAAGTTCTAGTGTTTCCAAAGTGTCTAATTTAAGTAGGAAAAAAGGAAACTGTCAACATGCAGTTTGCATGGTGGCGAACGCACCACGAGGTTGGCCCATTTGGAGCAACTTGGGGTTCAGCATCCTGCCCGAGGGCGCCGTGACGGGGCAGATTATCGTCCCTCTGCTGCCCTGGCCGAGGCTACATGCTAATGTATACCCACGTCTGCATTTGACATCATTAGCCAGATTAGACCTGGTGCTCTGCAGGCTGATCCTTTGCATTACAGGAGGATTTAGTCAGCCTCTGAATAAGGACAGACACTTTTAATCATATCACCAAGCAAACTAGGGGGGATGAGCGCGTGAACGGGCGGATTGACAGTAAACAGACGAGCAAGTTGAAGGAGAGCGAACAAAGTGACTCGAACGCATCGCGAGTTTGACGGGCGGCGGGCAGGAAAACGAGCGAGAGATCTGGAGGGAAAGAGAAGGAGACGAGATGATCTGAGGAGAGGAGAACCTCGTGTGATGAGGGATGAGCTGAGCCCCTGTCGCGAAGCAAGAAAGAATCTGCCAGCAGTATTAACGTGCCAGCGCTGCTTAAGCTGAAGGCCCACAGCATGAAGGAGAGGAAACGATGCAGGAGATTTCCAAGACGGAGAGCATCAGGTCATAGTGGAAATCAGTCTGCACAGAATCTAACTACCCATCACATTATCATAATTTCGAAACTCCCTTTTGCAGAAGCACAAAGCATTTACAGAGACCGTAATAAATCCCTGCAACTGCTGTTGTTGAAGTAGTGTAATCCTGAGAGCAACACGAGAAAAGCCAAGGAAAGGGGATGCTGGCTGGCCTTGGGAGTTTCATTAGAAATGCGGCCCTGGGTGTGTTTGAACCCTCCAACAGCAGAGGAGGAATTAGAAGCTAAGCCAAAAAGACCTTGAATCACAGCCTGTGAAAGAAGGGGAGTGTGTGTGAAAGTAAATCCTTGATCAATGCAAATGTCTCTGGGGCCTTCCGATTCCCCATGAATTTGGGTGAGAGTTGTTTGAAATTCTACTGAGAAATGTTTTGTTGAGGAATACGGGCTGAATGGCAGCCAATCAGCCGGATCTCAAATCGGGTCAAGGCACGAGGGAATGTCGTGAAATCAATCGCAATGAACTTTTAAGATCTGTTCACTCAGTTCTTAATTACAACATTGACTTTTAAATAGTGTGAAAGATGTTAATGCTCGTCTGTGCAGGATTTTCAGCATTTGGACTTCAGCGCCCCCTCGTGGCAGCAGTGGGCCGCGACGCATTGCCAGGAAACTCGACGGATGAGTTTAGATTTCGCATCCAGTTTGATCAAATTTTCCATAATGATGCCCAATATGAGGACGTTTGCTGCTAAAATCTATACATTACAGCGACGCATCAGGTGACAATGAAGAATCGCTGCTCGCAATAACAAACCCCTGAATCTGCAGCTACTCGGGGCATCTCTGAGCTCTACACAGAGCGTCAGCTTATTTTTTTAGCTTTCTGACCTGCAACTTTACAGTTTTGTTCGACTCTTTTCACAGTGCAGTCTTTGGCCTCGGCAGGCAGCTGTTTTCAGCGAAAAAGCTGTAAAAACTGCACTCTACCACCTTAGCCCTAAATAGCAAACAGACACAATTAGTGGCTAGCTGGTGAACATGGTGGAGCGTTTAGCTCTTACGAGGCCGATGGCTCCTTCAGGAAAACAAACAACAACAACAAAAAAAAAAGTCATACAACGGTTGCAGCCTCGGTAAAAGCAGCTGAGAATGAAGAAAAGCTTTTTTCCAGCGTGGACAGTGATGCAGTACATGTGGCGCATACTCAGATCCGTGTGGTACATTTACAGTATGAGGATGAGAAAATTAAAAAATGTCAACATAAATGTGATTAAAGGACCAAAACCACACAAGCTGATCTCAAACATCCAGGCTTAAAGAGGACAGTCGACACAACACACAACATCTAGCATTCATTAGCATTATATGAACACTAATAAATGGTATGAAACACTGGGATGGAGTCGTGAGCAGAACATAAAGTCTATTTATCTATTTATTAACAGCTTCAACAACACATACATATAAACCTTGTATACATACACATGTACATGATCTTATGATTATTTTCTTTATTTATTTTATTCCCTTGTTGCACTGTTTGTCAATTTGATTTACTTATTTCTGCTGTTTCTATCTCTCTCTCTCTATGCATATATACATTCATATATATATTTATTTCTTGTGTGTTTATTCCTTATTCTTATTTATCTTACTATTGTTTCGGTGTGGAACAGGTGCACAACGCATTTCCCTGTGTGTTAAACCACGTAGAACTGTGTTTGTGACCAATAAAAGACCTTGAATCCCTCAGTGTGGGGGACAGTATATGACAATGTAAGGATAGAAACTATGCTGTCAGAGGAAAGTTCTAACTTAATTTGATCAACACTATCAATAAGCAGTGCTGCAGTTAGCACAACAAAGACGTTCTGGGTTGGAATCTGCAGGTTCTTTCTGTGCGGACCTTGGATGTTCACCCTTTGCCGGCTGCTCGGTCTATTTCCCTCAGTCCAAAGACATGCATGGTAGGTTGATTGGTGATTGCGAATTTGCTGGAGATGTAAGTGCAGGCATGCATGGCTGTCTTCCTCTCTGTGTTAGCCATGTGACAATCTGGCAACCTGTCCAGGGTGACCTTGCGACTCAGCCTCTGTCAGCTGGGAGAGGCTTCAGCCCCCCGCAGATGAAAGTGCGTATAGCTAATGGATGCGCGAACAGATGGATGCGATGTATTTATGGCTGCATACAACATAACAATATGCTGGAAAGCATTCATTACAGTTTGGTATGCTAATTAGGGAGATTTACAGTTAGACGGTAAGAGTGACAATCAGACTTATATTCTAAGCATGACTCCAAATAAATAAGAATCTCAGTGTGCAAATGTTGTGAGTGTAAATAAGCAACTGTTAGCTAACAAATGCATCAACAGAAAAAGATGTCCCTGATGCCCCCAAGTGACCAAGAAAATCAGCTTTTGCTGGTATAAAGAAGCAGAAAATTAAAGTTGTATACTCACACTGCAAACACCTGGTTTTACTCACATGTACAAGTGAAACAGTCAAAGCTGTGGTGCATTACTGACTGAAGGTTATGTCTCTGCACATCTGACACCAGCATTCCTTTACAGCAGTCTTTAGTAGCCGGCCATGACAATGAATGACTAAGGAGGCCACTGTCATGACAATATACTGTAGATGAATGGAAAAGTGGGACTCCGCGTGTAAAACACTGCAGCTAAAGTGAGAAAGGAAGCTAAATGTTCAAATCCACGATGATGGTTGACAGCGGTGTGGTACTGGATGAGTGAACCGCCGCTAACAAGGACCACGGCCCTGCCATAACCGCACAGCGAACACCGACGGGCTCCGGCGAACTCAAGAATATCTGAAGTACAATTTAGAAGCAAAAGACAGTCATGAAAGGAGCAGGAAGGAGGCCGAAGTGAGCGCCGAACACAAAGGATGCAAAAAGTCGTGACGCGGAAAACAAAAAGACTCCGAAGGCCGAAGACTCGTTTAGAGATCAACGCATTCAAAACTAGTTAAAAAAGTGTTTTCCAAGAATGCGAAGGACGCATTCCTGCGACGATCAATACCTCACACCGTCTTAAATAAGCGAAAACCTTCAGGGCGAGAAAAGAAAGCAGAGGTGCCAAAAACCGCAGTTCCTCAATGGGCCACTTGAAGCTGGCTCTAAATGTGAGTCAATCTTCTTTGGTTTTCATGTTAAAATAAATGTATTTAAAACTTCTCATCGACTAGTTTGGGGCTCTAGAATTAATTCCTCTGTTCATACATTTAATACTGTGCATAACTGAGGTGGTTTTCTGTGACAGGCGGGCGTCCATGACCGTCTCTGCTCCACTCACGCTTCATTTGTGGCTCGTTTTCGGATAAACCAGGAGTTCAGCAGAATCAGGCAAGATGGCTGCGACTCGGAGCATCCAAACTGCCCCGCAGGAAACCTGAGGGTGGCGTCAGAGGGTTCTTTCATCTTCATGCAGTCCGTCCTAAGTCGATCGGACGCAGCCCCAGAAAGGTTGAGGAAAGTTTACGCACTGATGTTCACCGTGTTCTCAACTTTGTTTTTCTGGCCGTGGCAGCAATTAGGATGAGCTCACCGCTCGCAGAGATAAATCCATCCTTTCATACGCCCTTAAATTGTTGTTTAGACGTCATTCGAAGTTAAAAACATGTCTTGCGCTTTGAAGTGCATTTGATCTCGTCAATTTAATACTTTCAATAAACTCTACACCTGCTATTTCATGTCATTGTAAATCCAAAAGAAAGGAGGAATGTCAAACTATTAACCATTAAAAATGGAGCCATTTGAATTTGTTAAACATCAGGTTGACCTCTTCAAAAACTCTCTTTGCATTGTAATGGTTTTCAGTAATGTTGTTCCATTTCCCTGAAACTCGCAGCAGCTTAGCAATCTAAAATTCCCTCTGTACTGTATGTGCCCAAAATTACACGGAGCCATGTTATTTCCATCTTTGTAAATAAGCAGCCTGCAGCATTGCTCAGCTGTGTTGGTGGCCTTGGTTGTCATGGAGGCTAACAACTCTCATTATGATCAAACGCACAAAAGTGACACTATTCTCAGAGAGAAACACGGTGCCAAGAGCAGAGAGATCAATTAAGGTCAGGGGCTTTCACACCGATGGGCTGCAGATTTGATCATCGGAAAAAAAACAAAAAAAAAACAACAACTTTGTGGCGACGGTTTGAAGTAGCGGCTAATCGAGTGAGCTTCAAAATGCATCTGTAAACAAGGGCTCCGTACAAAGAGAAGGCTGGGAGACAGAGCAGAGCGGGGGGCAGCGCACGATGACGGCAACAGAAAAAGGAATAACTAAAAAATCACGACGGACCGGTGCGAGTGACCGCTGTGTGCGTCGGTGAAACAGCGAGTAGGGATGTTTACATTTTCTGAGAGAACAAAGACACGGAAGCATCTGTTCCATACGACGCTCCATAGGGTTCCTCAGTCGAGCCCGCCGCCTCTTTTAAGTACGACATGAAAAAAAAAAGTCCCCTAATTAAAAGATTCCCATTTTAATATCTTGGATGAATAAAATATTTCAAGTATTTTTTATTACTTGCTCATTTTTTATTGTTTATGGTAATCTTCCTGGAATTTTAATTTGAGGGATGCTTGTAGACGATGGCTAATCAAGTGAATCAAATACATGGAATATTAGAGCATTTCATCACAATCCAATATTGCTCCAATATGAGGCTTTTCTGATGACTTTTTTTTTGTTCTTCCTGCAGCACTGGTGCAACACAACGAGAGGTAGGTCTGTCAAAGGGACTCTCCGGCTGTATTGGCTTATTTACAGTGTATACTCATCATATTGCACCACGCTTCTAATTATAGCATTACTTGAAATGAATGCTAATTACAAACCATTCTGGGCTCATTTCATGTCAATGCTGCGTCTCTCTCTCGGATACAAACCTGTCTTTCCGGTGTTCTTCATGGTGGTCTGGTTGGAGGACTCGGTGTTGAACTTGTCAAGCACCAGCTCCTGGTACTCCTCCGAAACCAGAGCTTGCTCGTCCGCGATGTCCACGGGCGACTGGTTGTTCGCGGCACATTCTGGGTACAGGGCGGCCCAGCCTCGAGGTCCGTAGCTTCCTGTAGAAACAGAGGACACAAGACTCTCAGAACTCGTCTAACCCACATGAAATTAGAACCACCGACGGCATTACTGCTCCGGCAGCGTGGTGCTAGCAGAAATGGAGAGAGGGAAAAAAAAAGGACAATGATTCTTTCATATTCATTCAGCTGCACTCTAAATCCTCCCACCCCACCCTCCCACAGCTGGGAAAACATGTAAACACAATGAAAATTCATCATCTGAGTACATGCAATTCTGCTGTTAATTGTCCATATACGATAAAAATATCCACAAACAGAGCCTCGACTGAACACAGAGGATATGTGCCTCCTGAAATATTCTTTTTCCTTTTTTTTAAATTAAAAAATAATTACAATAAATAGACAATTCCAAAGAAAATACTCCACGTTAAGAATTCACATGCGTGCTGCAAACTAACTTCCTGTAGAATCCCCATCCACTGTCTGCTCTTTTAATCCTCTATCCCCTACAGTGGCGCTTCTACAAAGGAATAATCCACAACCGACAGGGGTCCCCTTGATCTCTTCCCGGGTACAATTGGCCGATGCAACAACAAAAGCCGAGGGATCAGGGGAACAAGGAAGCATGCATGGATTTCAACTTTTCTGGGTTAACACAATATTCATGATCCCATTCCCTACAGATATAGGGCAACATTGCTACTGGCTCATGAAAAAGATATGAGAACTCCTCTTTACCAAAACACCCTGGATCAAGGGTGGCTTTATGTCTCGCTATGTATAAACACCTTGAAGCCAAAGACACTGGCGCTGAAGTCCTTCGAAAAGACAGCGTGATTCAGGATTGTTTTAAAATATTCAATGTGTTACTACATCAATCAGAGGACGGCCGTAAACACACACCGTGGGGTGTGCAGCCACATAAACAGCCGCCGTTTTATTCATCCCTCCGATGAATACGTCTCTGGGCTCTGAGGGGTGGACTGAGCGTTAGAAAATATCTCAGACTTGTCCAGTGACTTAAATGGAGATAAACGCCACCTGCAGGATTAGAAGGTCTGAGTCGCAGAGAAATGTTAAAATGAATCCGAGCTGCATTTCCAACTAATGACTGCATTAGCGAGCAGGATTAAATTTGTCAGTCATGACTGTCGACTTACCAATACGTTTGTACCACCAGGACAACCCTGATACTTCCTATCCTGGAATAGAGCCCATTATGAAGCAAAGACTAATGCTATAAGGAAGTGAAAGCAGCGTGCCAATCAAGCGTACAGAGGCTTTGCATAAAACACAGTAACACACACAAATATATAGATATACATATCAACCACAACGGATGTGTTATGTTTGGGTTTTGATGCTAAAAATTCTATATATTTTGTGGAATTATTGTAAACATCCA